GATTTAAATGTAAATTAAAACGATTCGAATAAAACTTTTAGGTTGGCATTGGCATTGTTGCAATTTAGCCTGTGGTTAAAAATACAGTATTTTACGTAAACAAAAGTATTACTACAACTAATCAGTGTGGCACCGTCTAAGCACGGAATATACTGCTTCTTATTGTAACGTCATCTTTTCAAGTGACTGGATCAAATCCTCTGCAGATTTATTGGAGGAGCAGCAACAGAACGTTTGCATGGGGGGGGGCGTTTACATTGAGACACATTACTTTGCTAGAAGTAATTTTGCTTACCAGAAACGCGCTGGTGGCTTTCCCAATGACTAACCCTTTTCCGTTTTACTTACCCCCTCCCCAAACGATCTTTTCATTTAAATTTATATGGGCTTCTGTATATGTGCTTCATCGATGTTGACACGAAAGGTATTTTCTGTTTGTGTTTTGTATAAGTATTCATTATTTAGTGTTTTAGTTTTTGCATGAGATTTTTTTGCACTGTGAATTATTCTTGTGGTTTTGTACTCACAGCCATAGTTCAGCATTTGACAAAACAGCGCTTGCGAAATGTACATTCTGACGAATATAGATCAATACAATAACCATTGCGTGCAACGCCCACTTTTTCACATAGAATGAACAGGGCAGTTTCGCATAGAAAAAATAACTAACCATGCATACTTTGCCATAAACGACTTCCTTTTCATGTACAGAGGTTACCTGGAAGTGTTTTTCTTTGAGAATGCTTTGCTGGAGACGGTCGGGGTGGGGTTTGTTTATGGTTGTATTGGTTGCTCATGGTTGTATTTGACGTCAGGTCTTTGTGAAGAGTGTCGTAGTACGGATTTCGGTATTAAACACAGATATTTTGGGGCATTTAAAGAGTCATGCATTTTTAGTTTGGAATTTTTTTGGAATATCAAACTTCTTTAAAACTGAATATCTTGATTTCAGTGACCGATAGCCACTTATTTTTACTTCTTTTTTTTTTTTAAATAAAAGCACCTAAAGGTACAACTCGGGTTACTCCCTGAGGAATCTATGAAAGAATTACACAAGCTTTTTCGAGTGTGGCTGTACAGCAATTAAAATTTTGTATTTTTTCAATCATGGCCCATTTTAATAGTTACTTAATGCTACAGGGGTTATACAATTGCCTTAAATGCTTCCATATGAACACGCAACTGTAGGACAAAAGGAAACACCAAAGTGCGATTTTCTTGAGATGTTTATGTCTTAATTTGGTTAAACGCATTCTTCAAACTTTTACACATTCGTCAATTCACAATAGTGGTTTCGCATCTTCTGTAAACACTGTATTTATTATACATTACAGGAAAAGGTCCATGACACGTCTGATAATGTTCATGTGCCTTGTACCTGCTCAGCAGAAATGATCGTCCAAATATGTATCTACTTGTATGACTGGAAAAGGAAGAAATGTTTACCGACACGCTCTGCATTTTTACTGTTGTATAAGTTTCACAGTTGTGATTTTTGGTTTGGTTTGGTTTTGTCTGGTTTGGTTTGGTCTGGTTTGATTTGGTTGAGTCTGGTCTGGTTTGGTTTGGATGGTTTAGTCTGGTTTGGTTGTGTCTGGTCTGGTTTGGTTTTACTGTGAATCTAGCTTCAATGCAGGACAGGGGGATGGACATCAAGCACATGTATATGAATGATTTCTTAAATGTTCTACTCAAAGCTAAGAAAAGGTTTTTGGTTTGAATCTCTTGTTGATCATTATTTTAACATTTTGATCACCATGGAGAAGTTTTTCCAATATAAAAGTACATCAAATGCACCTACCCAACATGGTCTACTTGCACTGAAAATACAGCAAAGAGGCCAATAGATTCTGAATCACAGGTATCGATATTCGATATACTGAACCATCAACCATTGGAGAACCATAATTTAGCCATCGAACAGTCAAAGAGGTATTGGATTTCTAATATTTTGTATCAAGAATAGATATGTATAGTCGTCAGAACTGTGCATCGAAGCCATGGGCCGTTTGTTGAAATTCAAAGAACTGTTCCTTCAAAAACTGCCCAAAGAGCGCAAAAGGTATCTCAATTTTTAGGTAGTTTTCCTATTCCCGGAAAACGATGCTTATGTTTAGGAAAACCTAAATTATACTTGGAGAAAATGAGAGAAACAGAAACCATGATAGACACACTTGCGGATTTTCATGGCTGTTATTGTAGACGCTTAAATAATTGTCCTATTGTGGTTTTAAAAACGTATGGGAAAATTGTCAAAATGTCTGTTCCTGATCTTTTTGATAATTAATTAACCATTTTTTTTGAAACCGACCGACACATTCATTCATTCATTCATTCATTCATTCATTATGGTTTATTAAAACATGAATGGCATGATTAGGCTGAATTGAACATGTTTTTACAATTTAAAAACCATTCAAATATTACAAAATAATAACCAAAAATTAAACCTTAAATCGTAAAACACAAATACTGATATTAAAAAAAATTAAGTGGCATTTAAAATTTTTATCACAGAAGGTATTGCGCTATTTTGACATCGTTTGTTTTTACAACTGTATTGTGCATATTTCTCAGTATTCCTCAGATCATAAGATATTGGTTGTTTCGTACAAAGCGTACGTTGCAATGCGTGATCTTTTGTGTTTCCTATTTCCAGATGTCTGGCAAAAGGCGTTGTGTGGTAACAAGGTCACTCGCTACCCGACCAAAGTGCGCATGCATGTGTGAGAACACCTAGGCACAGACGTAGAAGCCTTGAACAGAAGCACCGAATGAAGCCTTCGGCGCCCATCTTATCGTGCCGAATACAAAGGCGAAGGTTTGCCTGTTTGCCGTTGTAACAGTTGACGCCACGGACTGAATAGCAAGCAAGCTTCGTATGGCACCGTAAGATGGCCGCTGGTGGCTTCAGTGACCTCTGTTTGCTGTGAAGGGTCCAGATCTTTTTGTATGGAGTCCGTGCTAAATGGTCGTTGAAGCTATGGCCGTGGACACATGACACTCTAACCGACCACACCCAAACACTGCATACACTGCAGGTAACATTCAAAGTTTCACGAATTACTTGAAAGTTTGACAAAAACAACAAACACTGTGGTTATTTCATGCCATTTGATAAAAATATTACCGGCTATCGTATGCGAATATGATCCCCTGTTACGCGAGACAGGTTTCAACTTAACACCTTTTATCTGCAATCTTTAGAGAATGCCAGAACGAGACAAACGGCCTTGTGAGTGCATTTGACAATATCTTTTATGTCGTGTATGACAACAGGATTTTGTACAGTAGAGTTGGAAAAGTTGTGCACTTTCACAGTTTGGTTGAAACACGTTTACGTGGTAAAATGTGTACCATATTTTACGAAGGAACCCTTTGTATGTTGAACTGAAAAGCTACGGTTCATAATGAGGTTTCAGTATTGTAAATCAAACCTTGTATCTGGATAAAGTTGGCCAAGAGATCATTTGAACGTATTATCGTGCATTTTACATTACATATGGTTCCCCCGTAATTCTATACGTGTTACTGTCGGGCCGGCCACCGTCCATTTTTCCCGTTGAACCGATTTTGACCTAATGTTGACGAATGTTGCCATAAATCATCACCGACTCTCACCTTCTCCCCATGGCAAAAAACACTACAAGCTCCTAGTCTTCTAAATATCAAGTTCTAGCGTCGTAAGGATCATCCTTATGCCAATGCTTCATCATCCTCGTTAAATTTAAAAGTGTTGTGGTTCGTCGGGGTAATCTCGTATATATTTATGATGTTATGAACTAGGTCCACTTCATTTGGCAGATCAAGTGAACGTAACTAGTTATAGGACTTTTCTTATTTTTTTCATTCAAATAAATGATATCCCGGCATTTTGGTGATCGACAGATTCTCTGATTGTTCCAACTTCAGTTTTTCCTTGAATTTATTCTGCAAAAACCTTTCTATCAAATTTACAACGTACGACGCAAGGTTGCCATTGCTAAACGCTTGTGCCCCGGTCGCGGATCCAAGGAAGGGAGTGAACAAAATTTAACAACAACAACAACAACAACAACAACAACAACAACAACAACAACAACAACAACAACAACAACAACAACAACAACGACGACGACGACGACGACAAACTAATAACAGTAAACCAAGATGACATCCAATAATAATGGAATGCACCACATTGTCACTGACACCAAGAAGTGACTCTTAGTCGTGCGCAAGGTAATCTCACTTGTGCGCCTTTTAGAGAACCGAGTTATTCTCGTTTTCACAAACTTTGGCATCCGGCACTGGTACAGTGCAGCACTTCAAGCGAGCACTTCGTGCCTTTCGTTTTCATGAACTGATACCAATCTTAATTTAAAACGAATTTAATTAATTTGGGGGTAAGGCAGCAAGTACAGGGATGGGTTAACTTCATTTCAAACCTTTCCCAGCCTTTTCTCCACGCTGAATCGCCGAAGCAAGCTTGGGTGTCAGTTCGTGATGTGAGAACGATAATCGGTCTAGTCCGCTTCAGTGTCTCATGTGCCCGCTCACTACCCGGTACTAGTCCGTAAAACCGAGAATGTTGAAAGCGCAGATTTCACGAAATGACAGCCATTTGCAACTAAGAGTCAGTTTGTGAAGTCGGTGACAAAATGTGTTTCACTGTCAGTAGTCATCGGACATTAAAAAATCTGACAGGCCTGGGAAAATACTACATTTCACAAAGTGAGATTACTTCACATAAAGCAATCAAAATAACCGTTATTTGATAGATGACGAGTCCATAGCACCGCCATTTCGACAAACCACAGACATTATTCGAAATTCGTACGCATTCGCACAGACTGGAAGAGTTAAGAGTGAATCTGGTTCAAATCTTGAATTTGTTTCTCCACTAAAAAATCTAAAACTAGAACGTCTCACTCTACATTTGCATGAATTTTATGCTGGACGTGAAGCTATCGTTACTTTACTTTTAGAACTGCAGTGTTAGCTGTTTCCTTTTTACTCACCGTAGAAGAACAGAAGGCACATTGTCTCTCCTACCAGCACCCATACTACCAAAGCGAAAATACTCCTCTCTGTCCACATTTTATCAGCAAAAATTGCGAAGATAGATAAAAACAAGGAATAACAAGACACCAAAATCGAGTCGACTGTACAGACTGTACCGTGTAGAACAGTCTCTAACAACACCCCAAAACTACAGGTCACGGGCACGTGAAACTCGACAATAGGTGTGTCAATACCGCGGCGTACGTAGCGTCATACAGTAGAGGCAAAAGAGTGCGCAACTCTATCTGTGGTAGCCCAGAAGGGACAACCAAGTCGCTATTTTCTTGAGGACATCGCAAGTTCTCTTAAATAAAGCCTATAGCAGGAGTTACGAGACGGAGTTTACTCCTTTCAAGCGTCCTTACAGACACTGGGAAGGATTGCTGTCCTTCATAAAATTGTTTGAAGCCTTGGTTATTGCCCATACAGGTCTACGTCCAGTGCGCATGTGTCACGCCAACGTGGAAGCGTTGATACGTGCGATTGTTCAAAAGAATTTTTCAAATGATTGATAGACAGAAATTCCGTCATGTTTCCGCTTATACTGTAAAGTCTCTTTAGAAATCCCTTCAAAGTTGCTCTGAAGAGAAATACCTGTCAGAACTAAGCCTAGTTGTTTCTCAGCTGGTCCGGGTTTGTTCAATGTTGTTCAAGTGCTAGTGTTGGCCTTCTCAAGACACCTCTGGTATGCGTCCTGAGCGGGACCAAGAGAGGGCGGCGTCTCTTTTGATGGGAACTGCAATTGGCTGGCTCACAAACAACTATGAAAGGCACGCGCTACCAACAAAATTAACGCTTTGTATATATACCAACATGGCTCATTACATGATGGGGGATGCTTCTGCTTTAGGCGGATAGCTCCCACGTGACGCACCTTGCTCCTAAGGATGGAAGAGGTACATAGTGCTCGTTCTCTTTGTGGCGTCACGAGATGGTCCTAGAAGATCCCAGAACAGGTCAACATCGTTACTTGTACATGTATTTGATCAGTGAAAACTATTCTTCTGTGATTTCTTTGGCGGATGTCTTTACCTCAGAGCAGCCTGGCCTCGTTTTCCCGAACTCTCACTGGTTTTGGGATCGACGAGAGACCACCTGCTACTGGATGAGAACTGGATTACTTGACACCTTTCTGACATCTGTCTGATGTCGATCTTGGCCAAAGTTGCAGCAAAATACAAGCTCGTCGTGGCCGGCTATTTGCTAGCCCAGACATCCCAAGACGGGGTATTAGGACTGTTGACTCCTCAGTGAGACATGAAGTCTTTGTGTGAAGAATGTTAACCGTTCGCTTCAACTGTTCAGCCTCATAGCTGCAGGAGTACTTGTCTTGCTTGCCAGCTACAATTAGACACGCACATAATTATGCAATCTTGAAAGATAGCTAGAGACTGCTGGCTTTCAATAAACTTTCTTATATACTGTGGTAACATGGCGATGAAATACCACGTGATCGCGCACTTAATTACCAAGTTTGGTCAATATTATCGAAGGTAAGCGATTGGTTGGTTTTAATTTAATATTTCTTTTAAAATAGCAAAGTGAGGCTGATTTAAGCATAGAGGTGCATTTGACAGAGCATTTTTGTATTCAAATCGATATCAATCGTCCCTGTTCATGACCAAAATGTAATGTCATTCTGGGGAGTAAACTTTAATCCCAGGGAGGCAAGTTAGTGTAGTTGCTTTTCATTAACCTTCTACCTCTGCGACCAGAATTCGAATCCCACCTAGGTCAGCATGTGCATTGGATTTTCAGTCCCTGCCTGATCACGTGGGCTTTCCCTGGAATATTTATCCGGGGTTTTCCTCTCACCTCTAAAACTGAACATTTCTTCATTGTCTTTTTAATTGTCATTTTATCCTTTAATTGGCGCTAAAGGCGCTGTTGGATGAACGTACATAAAACGAATAAAGGTTACACTGATGTGAACTGAACTGTAGCAGTTTTGAGATTTAATGCTGTTTCCAAAGCTCAGACAGTAGACATTAGCACCAGCTATTTTGGAAATGAAATCAGAGAATAGACTCGAAACTGCATGTACAACTACATTGCATGAAGTAGACTCCACTAGTTCTATTACCGATTTTTGACACTTCATTGCCAAATCTTCGGGCACGGGGCATGCGTGCAGCAGCATGTGCGAATTGGGGTAGAGAAGTTGAGTTCAACGCCTAAAGCAAAGCAACAGTGGTATACTAAAATAACTAACATCGTGGAGAGTAGGGCACTTTGTCCTCCCTAGCAGGATCTCTATTATATCTGAAAACTGGAAAAAAAATGGCCAAGTGGCACATAACCATTGCGTGCCTAGGTCAACAATGGCGGGGGATTCACTTGGAAACGAAGCAAGGGCGACCGGTAAAGACTTGCGTTACTAGAGTAAACTTGGCGCCCTTGTTGTCGACTGTCGCTAGGAAAGGCTGACAATAAAGCTTTCAATCTTTGAAATACCACACTATGTATTTGGCAGCACAACAAAAGACTTTTACAAAGCCTTTGGCTGAACAGTGTAATATGCCTGGCCATGCATGCAGTTGCAGAAGTCTGAAAATAATTGACCATTCAAACTAAACGTTGAAGAGAAACTGTACTTGAGAAACTTGAAGAGAAATGCATAACCAACAACACCTTAACCTGTATACAACATGACCTGTGGTTTTATATCGATACGGGATGATTAACTCTACAAGTCGTCTGAGACCAGCCTGTAGTCTGACGTTTCGAAGAGTATACACTCTTCATTTTTCATTGTTAAGGTCATGGTTGACATCAAAGCGTCGTATAACTGGGCGACTTTAATCTCCTGTTAATTTCTCTCGTGCCATAGGGACCTACATTAGCATTCTCAATCCACCATTCCTCCATTCACGCATAGACAAATCCAGAAACGTTTCACAGCTCATTGGTCGACATGGCCCCTCTTGAATGGTGGAAAGTATCGTGTTTGGTTTGTATGGAGCGACTGCCACCGAGCAGAGGCTCCGAACAATGGTCACGATGATGGCGGGGCCACAGCGAATGGCAAATGATAATTACGGTGGTCGATTTCTACCATGTTTTATAAATTGGCAAGCCTAAATTATACACGTATATACATGTAGTACCAGAGTCTTGGTATGTGCATGGAGTAATGGTACGTTTAGATTCTAAATTGGCTAAATGTGGGCATACCCTCGTGTACTGGACCGGATGATCATGCGTTATTATTGCAGACATCATGTGGGAATGCTAACTGGCCCGGGGAGCGCCATTTCTAGCGAAAGTAAAAGGCAGTATTAAAACACAAAAACAATTCCTGTCACTTTACCATATGGCTGGAGATAGCTACTGTCCTGATGCGGTGTGCTTCAGAATAATAGCGTCGCCTGGTCCGTTTCCGCTCACTATAATTTAATAGAAGCCAACTTATTCCTCCTAAAATGATGCATACAACTGAAATGGAGAGAAAAAAAATGAAACGTTGACTCCGTACTGCGTGTCTTATTTCATCTGCTCTACACGAGTTGGGAGAAAGTAGATACATTGCAAGGAATAATAAGTCACCTAAGTAGATTTGATGCTGTCATTGTGTACAGACCTTTCTGTTAAGTCTTGCCCCCAAGACGGTAGTGCTCGATACAGGGGTGATGTACAAATGTAACTAGGGTTAGATGCAATACAAGTCTCTTGATTTCAGACGTTTTTGTTGATGTTGGGGTGGCCACTGCAGCTTTTTCGGCGTTTCTGTTACACTATAGATGTTTTTCAGTAGTCACCTGTAACCAATCTTGCAACCCTTCGCTGTACGTTTTCCAGTTTGCTGACGTGGTTTGACTAATGGGGATTCATGCATTGTGGCTGCGTTTTCTAACTTTGATCCAAGCAAAGTTTTGTAGGTTGCTTTTCAAACTGAAGGATTTGTGGAGAGGTTATGTTCTTACAAGCCCAACCACGTTCTGATCCATGTCAGGGTGTAGTGTTCTACTTCATGCATATCTCTCGTGAGCCACGTTGTCAAAGGCTTGGTTGAAATCAAGCACCTGAACATCGACCTGGCCCCTTTTTGTTTTGATCTAGATGTCAATGAATTTCTTCAATGGTATTAAGGAGTTGACTTTCACATAATGACACTTCAGAAGCCCTGTTGGTACTCCTTTACAACGTCAATCTCCAGCCTTCGGGTCTATCGCTTCTTTTTGCTCTGTTCAAGTGTAGACCCTCTTGCGTCTTCTCATTTTGTTCATGTTACTGGTCAGCAATGGCCAATCTTCTCCTGCCCTATAATTTTTTTTCAATTGGTATGTATGATATAACAGCATTGGTGAAAACATTCCATCCCATAATAAGGTCCACTTTTCAATTTAAAGTTCCACGTTCACACTCAGGCGCCATTTTAATTTAAGTTCTTTAACATCCTGTTCGATATTATCTATATTGCCGCTCATGAAGATGAAGATTTTCCTTGGTTTTTCTTGTTTATCTTGATTCTGGAATTAATATAAACCTAACAGCTTCAGGGTCACTCATTATAGGATGGCTTTAACATCTTAACACAAAACGGGCAGTTGGTCGGAAGTACATTGACAGTGTTACATTTTGTAGTTGTCTTATTATCACAAATAGGTCATTTTGGGAGACACTTTGGTGGTAAATTTTCAACCAGGAGGAGGTCGAATTTTACCGTTAAAATAGATTAGGGTCTAAAATGAAAACATGCAAATTTTGGTTAAGATCGGATCAGGGAATATTGAATTATGGGACAGTACAGTTGGAAGAATTTTGTGCACGTTCTATATGGGAATCTCTTCCAATAACGACCCATCTTCGGTAATTATTATAAACATAAAAGGAAAATTCTCATTGGTGGTTGCACTGATAAAAAGAGTCGCTGACTAGTGTGATCCTGGACCTGGAGGTTCTAACCCATCTCGGATCCCTCAAGCACACCCTTGAACTGATTGTCAATTGTCGTAGTGTACACAGTGACCCCAACGAGCAGGACTCCAAGCCCTTAAAAGTGGGGATCCACGCATAGCGCGGGGGACAGAGACACATGAAAGTTTTCCCAAGAAGTCGCGGTCTTCCCTTCTGATGCCTACAGAACTCACATCTAAACTGCGGGAGCACACCTGCTTTTAGGGAGGAAAAGCTTTTATCACTGGTTGATGATGGAATCTGTGAAGCAGCACGAGATAAGCTTCTCACCCAAAGATGAACCCGTCATCTAACCAGGATATGTGGAACAATCTCGAAGAAAACCTGATGGAAATGATTTCTGGAAATTCATTTCCTGTTATAATATATACATGCACTGGAAAATGACTTGAATTTACCAAGTATCAAGGAGATAATACTAGACCTTATCCGCAGTATGGAATGATAGACTTTGTGAATAACCGAGCATGCGCTATTGCATTAACTGGGCTTGTTGGGAAAAAAAAATCTGAAACTGGCAGTTCACGAGTTGAAAACGTGCACACAACACCTGGGCCGTTCTCTTAAGTGATGTACACGTACACTATTTGTTGCTACCAAGTTAGGCCTACTACAGAGAATTCCCCGACGGTTTGCCGTAAAGTGTTGGTCATATATTGAGCATTCATCTTTGAAAGACCTGTGTGCAAAATAGAGTATTGTGAATCAGCGCCAAGTTCACCAATGTACACGTACAGTAGTGCAACTCATACATGTACATGTGCGTTCTGCATAATAGTTGTAACGCTTCGTCGCCGCCGAGGCTTCTGTTCGTATGAAAGGGTCACGGTGTTGTATCGTTAGCGTTCCCACGCCTCAATGAACTTTTTCACTAATAAATTCATAACTATGCTCGCATGCCCATGTACATGTACATGTGGCTATGCCCCCCAAAAGCGTGACCGGCCCAGTAAAATTGTAGCATATATACAAATTGGAGCTAATGTGCTTCAAGAAGCACGGATATATCTAGCTTTGTCCAATTCAGTTTACGCGGCCGTTAAACCTCGGCAGAGATCCAGGCCATAAACACGCAAACCATTGCAAACGAGCTGCCACCCATTAGGTGACCATAAACCAAATTCTGTTTACCACCCACCTCCAGACACCCCTGTCAAGCGCAAGGGACCAGCACTCATTTGGAGACAGCTGCCTCGGCAACCTGCTTGAAAGGGACCGCACAAACGCCCCTTCTGAGTTCAAAATAAAAGGAACTCGTACGAAAAATTTTCAAGATATTGCAAATGGTTTCAACAATTATTTTACGCAAATAGGCCCTTCTCTTAACCGAAATATCTCCGATACTAACATTCAATTTGGATAATACCTTGGAGATCCCAACGAACATTCATTGTTTTTCAATCCAATTACCAAAAATGAAGTCTATGACATTGTTTCCAAATTCAAGAACAATAAGTCCCCTGGCATTGATGGCATTAAACCTGGCTTCCTTAAATCTATAATTGTCAACATAACTAACCCTCTGTGTCACATATTTAATATATCCCTCACCACAGGAGTCTTCCCAGAAAAACTAAAACTCGCTAAAGTTACTCCCGTATTTAAAATGGAGATCCTGCTGAATTTGGTAATTACAGACCAATTTCGGTATTTTCGTGCATATCTAAAATTCTTGAAAAACTTGTATTTAATAGAACTGTTAAATTTCTTGAAAAACATAACCTCCTTTCAGACAGCCAGTATGGGTTTAGATTTTACTACTCAACTTCTATGGCACTGGTAGACTTTGCAGACAAAATAGTCAAAGGTTTTGAAGATAATGCCTATTCCATGGGTATATTTTTAGATTTATTAAAAGCTTTTGACACTATTAAGCATGATATTCTTCTCGATAAACTTAGTTTTTATGGAATGCAAGGTGTTCCTTATAAATGGTTTGAAAGTTACCTAAATAATCGAAAGCAGTGTTTATGTTTCAATAATTGTTCGTCCGACTTCAAAGTTATATTTTGTGGGGTACCTCAAGGTTCTTTCCTAGGATCTCTGCTCTTCCATCATATTTGTTAATGATATATCAAAAACATCAAACTTGCGGTCATTGATCTTACGTGCAGATGATACTAGTATTTCTATTGCAATAAAAGTCTCTCCTCCCTCTGTGAAACAGCTAATAATGAATTAACTAAAATATGTGACTGGTTCAAAGCTAACCGCCTTTCCTTGAACTTGTCTAAAAGCAATTTTATGATATTCAGTAATAGAAAAGGACAAGCTAATTCGTCAAATTTGAATATTGTATTAGATAAAACATCTCTAAAAAAGTTAACAAATGGGGTGTAATAATTGACGATAAAGTAACATGGAAGCCTCTCATCACTGAAGTAGCAAGTAAAGTTTCCAGGAGTATCAGAGTTATTAGTAGACTTCAACATATTGTTCCTCCTGAAGTTCTTAAAACACTGTATTCTTCGTTAAGACTCCTTATTTTTCATATTGTAATATTGTCTGGGGAAATACGGCTCGAACAAACAGATAAACTGATTGTTCTACAAAAAAAGATTGTTCGATTGGTTGTAACAAACTCACCATTGAGGGCTCACTGTAAACCAATTTTGAAAAATATAAAATATCCAAGTGTTGTAAATCTCAGTAAATATCAACAAGGTTTATTTATGTATAAATATTACAGAAAACTGTTGCCTCATTCCTGTATGAATATGGTTGTACTTAACCTAAACCTTCAGTTACAAAACTCGAGCCACTTCCGACCTACATTTTCACATACCCCAACAAAGGACATCCGCCTTCCAAAAAATATTAAATATGCTGGACCTAAACTTTGGAACACTTTGCCACTTTCCCTCAGAGAATCTAAATTTTACTTTCAAAAGTAAACTGAAATCTTATCTACTGTAATAACACGCCATTCTCCGTACAAACCTTCATCTTGGTTTATTATTCTTATGTCGGTCCATGTCCACTGTTTTCATTCCGTATCGTTCATTTCATCGAGGGTCCGTGATTTCATCCGCTCATCACTTTGTGATTACAGAGTGTTGAATTTTTGTTTTGTTTGTATTGGAATGTATTGTATGTACTTTGTTCAATGGGCCAGCCTAACACAGGCCTTTGCTTTTTAGGCTTTTTGCCCTCTCTTCTTGTCTTCTTTATGATGATTTAATACATTTGTTTGGTTAACACTTTATGACTATTTAATACTGTATTGCGTAGGCCTATCGCTATTAGTAGAAGAGGAAATAATATCTAAAATGAAATGAATTAAGCCAAGTGCAACGGGGACGGCGGCGGGGCCTCCTCCAGGTGGCAGGTCGCTGATCAAGATGGAAGAAGATTGTGGAAGAAGGAATGTGTAATTTGAAAGAAAATGACCACTATGACCACTGGCCAAATTCTGTGAACAACTTTTATGAGGTTTTGTTCAGACATGCCACTGACAATTGATCAAGTTTGACAATAATTGGACCGAGGTTGTGGAAAAAGTATTTTGTAATTTTGAAGAAAAGGACCACTAGGTGACTACTGGCCAAACATGCTATGGGGGGGTCTTTCTAAAAATTCCCTTTAGAGACAATCTGATAACGTATACCTTCTAGAACATGCACGGGCTTCACCAGGAGATTTTGCAGGGGAAAAACCGTGTTTTTTTCAGGTAACAATTCAAGGCGGGAGCAAAGTACTCAGCTCAGAAATGAGATGATTAACAGTTGGGGAATCAATTTTGATTTTTTTTTTCCCCAAGCAAATTTGTGATTTTCACTCCCTTCCATCTCTGTCCCCAACCATGTCAATTCATTCCCCTTTCTTCCTCTTTTATTTTTAGTTTTTTTCGGAGGGTGGGGGCTGACTCCTTTGCTCCCCGCGACACACGAGAACACGGCCTAGTCGTTTCTCGGCGGGGTCATTTCTCGGCGGGGTCAGGATTTCGCTTGATATATGCTTTTGTTTTAATTTTTTTTTCAAAGTTTCCATAAAAGCAGTACATTTACCAATTTATAATAGTTAATCATATATATGACAATATAAGAATCTCTTCTACACAACCCTATGCTCACTTGGTTCCAAGCCACAAGAAATTATTCTTGACGTTGGCAGCTTTGCTGTTGCTTATTATTTCATATTAAAAATATTATAAAATTAATATTAAATTCATCGGTATGTTCTTTAATAGAACCGCCAGACCCTTCGGAATTTCCCAAGAGCAAACCCGGATGTAGTATTACATACATGTACATCTTGATTGTGTTTTGCCAGCATTTTATAGTTGCTTGTTGAAAATTCAAATATACACATGCTTGTCAAGAGTTTACGGTTGTGGCAGCTAATGGACAGGAGTTGCTGCCCTCATTTACAACATGCTTTGGCTTTTACATTCTGATTACAGTTACGTACTTTATTTTGATCTCTAAACCAATAGGAAATATCTTAAATTATCAGTATCAAGATTCAAAACCCTGCATACATGTACTAAAAAGAATGAACACTGATGTATTGCAATATGTATCGCAATTCTTCGAAAATATGGAATATCTTTAAATTATAACACAAAAAGCACCAATCTAAATGCACTGTAATTTAACTGGTGGGGTCAAAATAAATAGTGATGTACCAAAGCTAACAGGCACCCATCTTTCCAAGTATCACAACGAGCTGCGAAAATTCCCTTATTAGATAATTACATGTCCAACCTTTTTGTACCATTTTACCCTTCATATAACACTGTATTCGTCCAAAGCAATAAAATGATACTTTTTTCAATATCCCATTGCCTGTTGATGACTATCAAACTTTCTGGAGACTACGCAACTTTGCACCTACCCAGGTTTGCATTGTTTTTCATGGGCCTGAACTTGGGATTACAGTGTACTTGATTATGAACTTAGGAATGGTTAGTAATGATTCATGAGCCTAGTGAAGTTGCTGAATCCACTTCCTACAGCTGTGTGTTATTTGTGGTAGCAGCCAAGTGTTTCAGACAGTCTACCATTGACAAGGCCCTGTCAAATGCCACAATGGTAACGTAGAAGCACTGCGGCACAAGTGTGAGGAGATGTTGAAAAAGTCCACTGACGAATGATTCCAATCTTTACAGTTTACATAAAATCAATACAAGCAGTCCAGAAAAAAAATTCCCGTGCGAGACCAAAATTGCAGAGACGGTGTAAAGTGTGTTCAGAGCCTGGGAAAAGCTGCACACAAGCCGCCTGAAAGTTTGGCTGGTGACCACTGACTTATCAAGGTCTTTGGTTGGGGGTCGGGGGAGGGGGTGGTGGAAATTTTTGTCTAAATCAAATGTACAAATTTTTAATTTCCAAAACAGTCCTCAAACTTCCCCCCAAAAGCTGTACATGTAGTACTATTTCTAAAATGCTGACACTTTCAATTCCTTAAAAAAATTTCCAAAATAACTAGGGAGTGATCTACCTGCCCCACCCCCGATACCTCACTGCTATTAACATTTTTTATGTTGCGCAAATAATTCCTGTCATCCTTTGTTACTTTAATTGATACCCTGTACAATACACAATAAATTGCTTTGGTTGAGAAAAAGATAAATGTAATGAGAATTTCAAAGACGGAGAGGGTGGAGTACAAATACATGTACTTTTCACTTTCGTGTCTAATTCTTCTTCCTCATCGCCATGACAACGCTGTTACATGTAAATCACTTGCTCATTAATGAGTTCCTGAGTTGTTGATTCATACTTCCATCTGCACATCACTATCCTTGATATCATACTTCAACTTTGGTTTCTCAGTCCTTGTATGCCAGACATAAATCTACAGCAAAAAAAAAAAAGAGAAATTCAACTGACGGAGGAGAAGGAATATCCTCTGAATCAATATTGTACAGAAATTCAGAGGGATTCTAGCAGCAAAGAGTGAAGGGTGCTCGATCCATAAGACAAGAAGTCTGTAGTGGTAGGAGATGCCAGCATTACTGGAACTGATTTCAATTCCGTACAGGAATCTCACTTCCATGCAGAATCAGTTGTAACTGCTGCTATCAATTGCAACTGACAAAAACAACATTAAAAAAAGACATTTACAGGGCATTGTGTGCACAATGATTAATCTCTCACTAGAATTCAGCAAGACGTTTTATCTATGTTATAACTGACTGTCTAACTTAAAATTGTTTTGAACCTTGAGTTTTATTAGTAGCCCACAATCTCAGGAAATCATTCACAGGTCGATATGTAGGTCCTTCAGAATTGGATCATTGGTACTTTCTGAAATCCAATCTCAGGAGATGGAACCAATCAATGTGGGGAATTAAATCCTCAAAGTACCACAACTTTGATTCTAATTCCCTGCTTAGAATTGATTCTAGGCAATTCTGATGGGGAAGTGTCCCAAACCTTAAAATTACCTGTAGAAACTAGTTAGTCCGACAGAGGGTGCTATAACAATTTACTGGTGTTGAGTTTGTTTACTAATTAGATGTTGGTGGCGCTCTTCAAAACATGCTCACATTCTACATGACAGTTTCCATTTTGATGCTGGAATGTGGCCATATATTCCAAGATTAAGTCTGGTATATGTTCCCCAAGTTGGCTTAAAAGAAATAAAATTCAGAACTTCATCAGCCGAGAGTAATGGTGGAATCCCATTCACTGATGACATTAAAACCCAACTAGCTACCCAGTCCTGCACATTACCACTTCCAGTTTTAATTTCCAATTGTTGGAATGTTTAGATCTGGTGCTTTTTCTAACGGTGAGCAAAGTACATAAATTGGGCAGAAGGATGCAGCATACCACTGTATGCCATTTCTTCAGGGTTTATGGTCCCAGTCTGTTCTTTAAACAAACGTTGTTGAAATAAGTCATTGGTGTGCATACCTTCAATAATGGGCTCACATAATGTCATTTTATACAAGAAAATGAAGAAAAACCTTGGTTAACAAAGAGTTAATAAATGTTTGATATATATTGCATAAATGTAACGCATTGGCAAAATACACTTCTATCTGAGATACATGTAAAAACACATTTGTATGCTGTCTATTTGCCGCTGTTACATTATGAACAGAAGAAAATGTGTGTCATTCTTTGCAAGATCTACAATTTCATATGAATGTCAAAATTGTTCTCTTTTAAATAAAGCAATGAGGACTACTGAGGATGTGTTGAATACAAGATCTGTCACTTAAAAAGGTAACAGATCTTGCATTTTCTCTTTTCTTGTCTTGTGACAAGCAGTGTACATACATTGTACATGTACAGTATATACATGCACTTGTAACAGGTGTAAATGTATTAACTCAGAGCTGAAGGATTGTTTTATTTACACCTGTTACAGATCTTCATCTGCTACCAACAAAAAAAAAATCTTCATGGTTACTTGTCTTACCCTTGTGCAGAGGCTGGCTTTGGGTTCCAAGTCGTCCATTGTGACGAGGCTCACTAACAAGGAGGACTCTAGGTAGCCTCTCTTTGCTTTGGGTGAAAACCTAGCCAAAGGCTTTGCCTTTAGCAAGCGAAGATTGATAGCAAAGCCAGCCATGTCCATCGGGAAGGGCCTTTGGGGCTGCCAGCCCACGTTCCACCCGGTGACTTTGCCGTTTCTGTCCACACGAGGGCTCTCGTACATCTGACCTCCTACCAGGCCGACCGGCCACATTGAAACTCTCTGAGTGTATCTCATCTAAAGAAAAGGTCAGGGATTGAAACTGGACAGGTAAGGGTCAAGACACACGACATCTGGGAAAAGACTGAGGCATAATCCAATTGTTCTCTTCGACTCTTTAGGGAAGCAGGAGACTTACCAGATGCTTGTAACTATGAAACTTTGTATCAAGGAAACCTACCTGGTCAATATCTTACCTCTTTTTAACACATTTTTAAACTCCTTTCCATCAAACAGGAATTCACCCATAATTTCAGCAATGTGCTTCTTCTTAACACAGACGTCATAAGGTCTTATCCTAAAATTGGCATGCTACATGCAAATGCAGCTTCAAAGATATCCAAAATTGACTACCCCCATAAACCTTTGGGACACCCTCATTGTCCCAATTCTTATATACTGAAATACATGTACCATACCTCCTCAAATATTTGCAGACTATAGGTATTATCATCATCAGCAAAGTAAACTACTCCAGGATTTTTATCCACATCAACCTTCTCCAACAACCACTCAATAGCAGTGTTCCTCTGTTCCACGCCCCTGGGTTTCAACCAGTTGGGGTCATTCTCCCCTAACCGGTGGGGCTCTGGCGTCCTGCAATTCAAATGGGTGTATTTCATGCCACTCTTTCTCAAGAAGGTCGTGACCAGGCTGGTTTTGGTGTTGGAGTCCTCCACGACAATCCAGTGGAAATTCCGGACGTGGAGGAACGTCTGGGCGATCCTGGTCAACTCCGCTTTCTGCACCGGCCTGGTGTGGGTCGGGGTGACTGCATAGATGGTGGGCAGACTCGCATTCAGGACGTTTAAGCTGTCCACGATACTGCCTACAGCTTGGGGGTACTGTTGGCGTAAATGAACAATAACATTCTCCAGGAGTTTCCTCTCCTCTTTCAACGTGTTCTCCGTCCTCACAAGTTCCGCCTGTTTTGTTTTGTAGTCTGCGTTGATGACACGCATAAGGTAGGGGTGTTTATGACTGGCATGTTTTGCCGACTCAGAACAGAAAGAATCTGAGGGAAAAAAAGGGCCATTGAAACAGCTGCCAGTATCATATCAGCAGGTGGGAAGACACAAATGAACATTTGCCAATGTGGATTGTTTGTGACTCCCTAGAAACGACCTGCTGACTGCAGGAACAAGAGTTGGCATGTGTTTAGCTAGGAATCACATTGATCAGGTGGAAAAACAGTGTGTGCACACAGGAACATGCACATTGGACACAGGACATGTTAAGCAAAAGTAACCAATTCCTGTTGAGAAACTTGTATGGTCATGATGACTGCTGCCCCCTACACGCCCTGTGCCAAGTTGAAGTTTTTCAAACCAACTTGTCTCTCCTTTGTTGTGGGGGTGCATTTAGTCAGCAAGGATAGGTAATACATTTAAATGAGGGAAAATAATGAAAACATGGCTCGTCCACACCAGTAACAGCACTGCTTAACACATTTGAGACATAACCCGCACAAAAATGACATCCAGACTAAAGTCACATTTAACCATTTGTCATTTTACTATCACCCATCGCCGCGGTAAAACCCTTGGAAAAAAGTCCAGTGTGGACACATCATGTTTTCAGCAGCTTGAATAACTTGAGCCCTAATGCTCATGACATCTTGAAATTCGATTTTTTTTTTCATTAATTTGGATGTCATGTGCACCGCAGGGCCAGACATGCCTGAGTTAAGGAATAACAAAAGATTGAACATGTGGAATAAAAGTCATATTTTGGAAGAAAACTTGGTGTTAGGAGGCATTTCATCCATCCCATAACGTTTGGAAGCAGCAGTATTCCTCTTTTTCGATTTTGGTAAGAATGACGGTCCCGTCATGCCCGTCCAAAATCAAAAAGAGCAATACTAACGCTCCACTTTGTACAGCAAGGTGAGAAAAGACTAGGCCATTCACCATGTTCACCCTGGCCCCGTTCATTGTAAATAGTATAATTCAAGCAATGTCAACCCGACCAGAATGGAGTTCATCATATTCTTTGCAAGTTTGCAAGTTGAAATGGGAAGTACGTGTAGCTATAAAAGTAGAGCTATTTCTTACCGTAATTCACGAGCAGCCACAGTATCCCTCCTGTCGAAATGACAAAATACAAACAGACGAAAGTCCGTGGACGCCAGAGACCTCTCATCTCACCAGCAAGAGTTGTGAAGCATGTATTAAAAATAAAATAGAAGGAATAAGCAGGGGTGGCCCATTATTTAGCCGTTAACTTGCAGTCGTACACCTGTCAGACCAGTTTATCGCTGACTAAAACTTCTTTTGCCCTTGTAGCAGGTTCCCTAAAGTGTTATTACACGCGATGTCATAAATGTCGTCGGGGAATCGGTCTGCGAACAGCAATCGATTAATCAGTCGCTAATACACGTGCGTTTATATGGAACGCCGGCTGGTACCAATATTACACAGCGATCTGGGGATACACTGTGAAACCAAATTTAAACTGCACTTTTCTGTAGGAACATGATTTTAATATGAATTTTGAGAAGAAAAACTGGTCTTCACGCTTGGTGGAAGCTTCCCATACATGTTCTTACTACTTACAGTCTGAGTGATGGGTATCACCAGCCTTTCTGACATCATATTCTGAATTCATTCTCTTCATATGTGAGCATGGTCCATAAAAATCACCACGGTTCTAGCATTCGCTACTTCTTGAGGAAGAGTATTCCGTGTATTGATAACTCGTTGGAAGAAGAAATATACAGCCAATATGATCTTGTTTAACCATATACAGACTGGGGAGGTCACTCAATTTGCCCCCCCCTCACTCCTGTGGGAAGTTTGCGACTTCTCCCAACCCCCCGCAAGTATCAAATTGCCCTTTCATGATGTTTCTTTGAAGTCCTGCGTAACGTTTGAAAACGGTCATATGGTGAAACTCGGAGGAAGAGTTTCTTTATGAATCAATAGTGTTATGCATATAAAACATGCAAATGTAACCAAAGAATATCAAAATAATCACTATAAATATCTTAGTCACATGATAATCCATGTCTGTCTTTTATTTGAAGTCAATAAAGTACTTTCCTCTCGAGATTTATTGCAAAAAATGAAAATGCTTCACTAATTAATAAGCGCATGTTATTGCTTAATTATTGCTTAATTATCTACAAAGACATGATAATAAGCTACCCTATCTCCTTACAATATCAGTTTCGTGTTGAATGGGCATTTCGTCTCAGAGAATGGGCTGCCAACTAAAAACACTAAGCCTACTCCAGCCTGAAAAGCGGCACATGAGCCTGAACGATGAAGATCGTCATGGTGTGACCTCTTGTCCCGATACTAGTCGCTGTCTTGAAAAAAGTCTTTCTTTCAATATTCTCTTATCCCTTTAATAACTTAAAAGGTTTGCACTAGGTCTCTTCTTATACATCTTTTTCGAGAGAGTAGGATATAAGTCTTAAGTTTGGAGATGTTCCTCGTATAGGGCTACATGTTGTATTTTAACTCAGGTACGAACTTGGTAGGTCTTCTCTGCAACTTTTCCAATACAGACTTGTCATCCAGCTATGGATATCATGCTTGGATGCTTTGACACAGTAGAGTATGTTATCAAACGTAGGTCTTGTAAGTGATTGGAAAACTATCGGCATGTTAAAATGCTGTATGTATACTTTCCCTCTAAAAACACAAAACAAAACAAAACAAAACAAAACAAAACAAAACAAAACAAAACAAAACAAAACAAAACAAAACAAAACAAAACAAAACAAACAACAAACAAACAAACCAAATCCAATCCACAGGCCAGTAGATTATAGCCCTAATTCAGGTCAGGTAGTGTGTTGCGTTAAAGAAAAATCGCCGGCTGATGATGCAGTGAGCGGTAAATTGTTAGCTGTCCCACTGGAAGAAACAATGTTTTATTGTGATTTCAAATAAAGGTAATCCATTTCAATAAGAAAACTGCTTTCTGATCACTAGAGCCACAAATTTTGGTGAAAGGCTTCCTTAAAGATGGACATATACAAGAATCCTTCATTAACTTAACCAAACTCAAAGGATATTTCACAATCGAGTCCCATAACTGTGAAAAGATTATTTTGGTGACTTACGGTACAAAGTTACCTGGGTAATGTAGTTGTAAATCCCGGAGGATGAGAGTAGGTGATATCCCCTCACTTTTTGAAGGAGGGGGACATAAGCCATATTGACCCCAACTGGTTGGTGAAAAAAATAGCACATTGCCAATCATGAACGGCGCCCCCTTGTATAATCTGGTAGGCAGACAGCCTAAAAGGAAGGGCACACTAGTACATGTATACTAGTGCGGTGCACTTCTTACAAATCTAAGGGGATACCCTTTACACCCCCAACGGTGTCACAGAGAATTGGACCATGCAATCTTTTCCGTAAACTTTGGACACGGTTGTGCATATGATTTCATTGGAACTCAGTGGCCACACAGAAAATTTCGTCATGTACATGTACATTATGCATGTACCTTCATGTAGACATTCTCACTGTGACACACCCACCCCAATCCATACTCCACCAGCTTCAGTTCCCAGTGCATGCATTTTTGCGGTTAATTATCTGTTGTCTAATCTTACCGAATATTTTTACGACCTTTGCGAGCAGTTCAAATTCATAAATGACAATGGCAATCTATTGAGGTTGAAGTCGTAAATCTTGCACTTGTTACAAATTCTTGCGGCATTAACTGATTAAGATAAAGACAAAAACCTTGATCCCCTCGAGTCGACGACTCTATCCGCTTATCGTGGGCTGTGATCTCTTTACACGGCAGGGGATACAATAAATGGCTATAAAGAGAATTTATCAATGCCCCGTATTTGCATAAGAAGTCCCCTTTTATTAGCACAAGAGCCGTGACACGATACATGGTTCTCGTAACCATAGTGAAAACGGGACGCTGTTGAATGAACGACTAGACAACACTTCACATGGGGTACGGCCTATGCCCCCAGAGCTGATCCATCGGGCAATATTTCGTGTACTAGAGGGGCTTCGCGGCCTGTAAATTTCAGCACAAAATGGTTCCCGGGGCTACAGCGGAGAACACGGCCAAAGCTGGCCGGATCAAACCAGCAAAGGGTAATTTGAAGACTACAAGAGAGCGTACAAGTGTTATGGACAGAGAAACGCCGTTCAAGGTATGGTAAACATGGAGAGGGTACTTCAGAGTCGCAGGTTTCGGCTTTTAAATTTATTTTGTCGACTGTAGCCTTCCTGTAATGAGTATCATGGCTGTGTCTAACTACTCCATGGAGAAATAGAAACATTGGAGAGAGAGAGAAGGGCACATCCGGAGGATCCAATGTCATGATTAAGTCCGGTTCTGATTATAGGAAGGTAATTGGCTGGTCCTAGCAGCCTCGTTTTGGCAAGGATTGATTGTAATAAGTCACAGATTCCCATTTTTGTGGATAAAAATAAACACAGTCGTTTCAACACCAGGAATTTGTACGACAAAAACGTTACAGATGACTTGGCAAATAACAGATATACATGTAGGCCTGTAGAACCATCATCAACTTCCATCGTCCGTGAATCGTACATCTTATATCGATTAAATCCCAATTAATTAAAACATTTGACATCAACAATAAAATCGTGTGAAATCATTAATGGCATAATTCAAACTCATAACTATGTAATTACCGGTATACTGAACATTAAGACAGGAAATCGATTAGTGTAAGCCAAAACTTCACTAAGCACTATATGAGAAGAGGAAAGAAGATTGCACATATTGAAAGCAGCGTTTGGAGTACAGAGTTATAACTTCTTTGCATCAACTTTTCTAGTTTGAATCACACGTTAAGATATTTTACATTGAAATGCATTTATGTGTTTAAATGTTAAACGATGTTCCAAGGCAAATGCTTAGCGTTGTAAAATCTGCTAAGCATTTAAACACATTCGTAAACGTGTTTCAGTGTCAACATCTGTTGTGAGTAAAATGGGATTTAATACCTGGTTTACAAAATGCTAAGAAATGTGTTCAATCGCTAAGCGTTTTCCCCGTGTATAATTACTTAGAAAATGAAATTACGTGAACTGACCAAGTAAGTTCTATAAAGTTTTAGTCCAGTTCAGCGAAAATCACCCAAACGATTTCTTTGCAGGATTAAAAAACCCTGTTCTTTTGTCTTTTACGCTTAGGGACGCTCGAGCCTGAAGGATAACTATGAGAGGGCTGTGTCCGGCCGTGAGCAGTGGTGGCGTGTGGACATCCGAGTAAGTCTTAATCATACATGTACTAAGAAAGACATGTAAAGTCACGCATTTCATTCCATTTGTTTTTGTATCTGATATTCCAAACTGATATTCAACTCCTGTCCTCAGAAAGACTGTGTCCCATTAACAATGTTCATTTGAACATTCTCTGTCACGATGAAAAAAAAACCGAATATGCGTGCTTCTGAGATAGGATTTGATCATTTGCAACCCCCAGGCGCCCCACCCCTCAGGCAGTGTTTTTTGGGGAATTAAGAGGAGAAAATTACATGGTGGAGCATTTGCCGCGGTAGTAAAAGTGCCAGCAGGTGAATTGTATGTAAATGTTGGCCGATTCTATTCAAACTCTGAAGGCATCATTTCAAAATTCCTATTGGTTGACTATAGGACAGGGCCATCCGACTGATAACAGTGACTTGTGTTGAGTGAATAATGGAGGGGGTGTTGCTCCACTGAAACCACATAGCCTTGGAAGTAATGCAATTAAAAGGCATAGTATCAGTTAGAATTTGCCACTTGAGAACACTTAACCTGATAGCCAACCGATAATAAATGTATCGGTCGGACCGTTCTGTCCGACACCTGTCCGATAAGAATTTTGAATTGGTGCCACAGGTGGAATTCACCTAGACCCTTTCCAATGTATTTTCAAAGCTGGGAAATGCAGTTCTAGTATCAGTGGCCCAAATTTGCCAGTGCAAAAGCCCCAGTTTTGGCAACACTACCAGGAGAAGGTTTTGCGACCTTGTAAATAGTTTTAGTTAAATAGCATGCATACGCTACCACAATTTTGTGCAGAGCAAGCAATCCAGCATTGTTTAAATTCTTTCCTTCATTGCAATATCTTTTCCATACTGTTCCAATCATATCCAAGTGTTTTCATTTCGACAATTTTCTTCCTTTCATAGGAAACACCGGTTCCGGGTGCCTATGAGAGTCGCAACTTTCTGGTGGACCTGGAGGAGCGGCCGGCCACCTACACCTTCAAAGGCGAGGGTCGGAAGAAGGGTGCCGACGCACAGCGCAAAGGCGCTGTTCTATTACCAGGCGCCTACGAGGCTAAAGATCTCGTCTACGACCTAAATCAGACGAGATACACGTATTCAATGAGGAACACATCACGAGCAAAGAATGAACTACCAGGAGTTAAAGACAAGGTCAGTTAATGAGCTATAGGAATTGTATCCTAGGGTTAAGGAGTCAACGAAACAACTCCTCTAAAATTCGTATGTGAAAATAGCCATTTTCAATCAGTTTTTCTGACACGTTTGTAGATCCTCAATTTCAAAGTTCTAAACATTTTTGTGGTTTGAATATCCGTCTTCACATCTGTACATATAATATGTAAACAAATTCTAGAACGATCCGACAATCTAATCACTGAGGAGTCTGGTGCGCACACCCTTTTCAGTTTAACCGTAACCGCGTTTGGTCTGTAGCACCGAAATGTTACTGGGTTGGGAAAGATGGTGATATCTTGTCGAAAAAATTAAGCTCTATGAACAAAATGGAGAATTTGGCCTTGAGGGATTGTTTTTGTTTTCCTGTTTTTGAAAGGCTGAATATGGGTTCAGTTTCAAACGATTTCCCATTAAAATCACCCTCAAAACATTTATCACGAGACGATGAAAACTTTGTATGAAATTGGATATTGGGAGGAACATGAAACGTTGTATTTTTGTTGAAAATGGTGTCGTAATGGTGCTGCATAGGCGATTGGCATTATGTCATGTGAAAAAGCAAATTACTATAGCCCACGTACATTTATTGATTTCTCCACTCCAAATCAAACAGTAACAACGACTTATCCTGAACAGGGTTGTCCTGCACACATACAACTATTCATTAAAAGTGGAAAATAACCTCGAGAAATGACAACATTTTAAAGAAATTCCGAGAAAAACGATGCGACATCTTGCGCAGCGGCAACAGTCTAATGCCGAGCATTATTATGACACTAATGACGCACAAGTCCATCACCAGCTGGTGGCACGGGGTTGAACGCCCGGACTTTTGACTTCCTGTGGAGTGATTCAGGAAAAGATTGGAAATTTTTCATTTTAAGGAATAATAAGATGATTCAAAATCACACTGCAGTTTATTTAGAAAGGACACATTTCATATATAAAAAATGCTTTTGTGTAGAAATTTAGGATTTCCAAAAGGGGATAATAATTTCAAAGGGGCATCAAAACAGAAGGGTTTCACGTTTCTATTCAAATGGTTTTTACCTTCCACAACGCAGTCAACTATGGGAATGTTTTGAAAACCGCTGGTTTACATTTTTTTTAATTTTCTTTCCAATCATACTAAAATTGTTGATTGCTTCTTGAAAAGCTTGAATATTGTCGGACTCCATGCTAAAAGGTGACAGCGTCATGGTCAGTTTTTTGTAAATGTAATTTATTCTGAACAAGAAGTGCGAAGCCACGTTTTGTTTGCCTGTTTTAACTAGAATTTTCGTCCTGCAGTTGAATTATAAATGAACGAAAACACTATAGGCTAGAGATAAAAGTCAGTTTGGCAAGATTGTTGTAACTCAGTGCTTTTATCATGTATTTCCACCCATTATTTTACGTTTATGGTCTGCTTGCACAGTCCGAAGATCAGTATTTCCTTTTCGTCCCAATTTCGCTCATAAGTTTCCCTTAACATTGCATTCTGCTATCTGCACGCCCTTGGCAACGATATTGATGAACAAACAAAGCCATCCTTTTCATTTCTTTTCCAAAACTAAACAGGACCAAATTTAACCAAATCTTTACAAGATAAAATTGTTTAAATTAATTTCCTTCTGTGCAACGCAGTTTGAAAATAGCCATAATCCACAACCACTTTCTGCATGCTGAAAAAGTGAATTAAAACGTACTATGGTCCCCCGAATGAGTAAGTTGTTATTGCTTTCACACTTAGTAAAGAGCCTTTATTTCGGTTTGATTTGCATGGTTAGGATTGCAACGTTTGTCCAACGGAATACCCCATGGAAAGATATCTGACAGTCTCCTGTGAAAAGCAACCCTCGAAGTAAGTTCTTATATACTGCAGGTCCCGGGGGATTTCTGATGTTTAGCGGGCGTAGCACATGATGCATCCACAGATTCTAAGATTCAGGCATTTCGAAATGGGCTCAGGGCGGATCCAGCATACACAGACATTTTGGAAAATATTCTTAAAAATCTCCAAACATGGCTCTGAAACCGCACCATCCGAATTCAACCACCTCAACCACCGCACCACGTGCCTGACAACGTACAGGTGCAATCGCTCCCCGGGCTGCACTGGCTCTGCGAATCTGCGTTAACTACCGCTCGCATTACGTGTATTTCTTTGATCGAACCGTAGCTCTAAATTGTTTGGTCTGGAATTAAATCCCAGACTTTCTGCTCGATTGGCTGAACGCTCACACATCTCAGTTATTTCCGCGCTGTCGACTGAGAGCGCTATAGGCCTAAGCAAGGTTTCTGTCACTATCGCACCAGTGGACTCAGCATCGACACTAATTTGAACCTGCCGAAAGGTAAACGAACATTTGTACTTTGAAAGCGGTTCCACAAAGTGACAGAATCAGCGCAAGCGTCTCCAAAATGTTGAAAAAGGCCCGTCATGCCAACTGCCTTTGATTTTGACAAACTGTGTTCGTTCGACAGGTCATAAAACTTGTCATGCGACTTGTCGAACGAACGCGGTTTGTCAAAATGCAAGTATGCGGGCACACATATTGTGAACTGTACTAGCCAGAGAACCTTTTATGTCTAATGCTGCCACCACTTTTTTTCGTTTGCAGACATCCAATGTTTAAATCCGCGTCACAAAGGTTTCCAACGATTTATTTTCAAGGGGTGAGTATGGATCCATCACTGTGTTGGATTAAAAGTAGCACTAAATGAAAGTGAGACCACACTTTTCAGAACTCAGCAAAGCCCAGCTGGCGCTTAAATGTCCGTCGTCTCTTCAAATGACTGCTAAAAATTATTATTCGGTCATGAAATTTGATCTTAAAATCTGAAGTATGGAAATGGAGTCTGTTTCATTTTTTCACAGACGAAGAATCCCCCACCCGACCGATACCAATCATACACGCCGGAACCAATGCACGTTATTTCGTCAAGTTTCAAATCGAGGACGCCGAGGTTTTCAACATCACATACTGTAAGTTGTAATGGCCTCAAGTCGATTAGATATTCAAAAACCTTATCGTTTCAGGTTTTTTTTTTAGTTCATTAACCACAACAATCTTGGTTTACATTTGATTTGAGTGATTTATAAGTGTCTTGTTAGATTGTATCGGATTCGGAGGCTTTCACAACTTGGTATTGCACAGACTTTGCTCAACATTCTCGTTGCATCATGGGATTAAATGAAGACAAGCCATGGGTATTGTGCATCAAACATGAATATTTTCAGAATTTGTCTTAAGCACAATTTGTAAAGATCCCATTCAAATACATATTTCTTTTTTAAAAAGGGCATCAGAGACCAGACTGAAGAATCTATCCAACTGGCCAATGTTGAATGAAAGAGTTTGAAATCCTGCTCCTGATTAGCCAACGTTAACTCACTGCCATTCAAACATCAGGTGTACTACAAGGTTGTACTAATACAAAAACCAATGTCCAGGAATGAGATTCTCCGAACATTTTCTGTCAGACTTTACATTACATTTTTAATGACTCTCTTCCGAATCATCGATGCAATACTGTAAAAAGATGACTTGATTTCAATTAAGTAATAAGGTTGAGATCGATTAATGCTGTTAGTTCCGTTCCCTCACAAAATGAGCTGCTTGCGAGTTAAAGTTGCTTGACTTTTTGACATTGCAGAAAGTTCCAGGTCCCGGTTCGTATGACAAGACTTTCCAGTCTCCAATGCCGGCCACAATCTCCAAGATGGGCAGAAATCACGGCTTATTCTTCACCAGTGCATTTAACTTATGAACTATCGTCAGAACTCTCATCTTCAAAATGTCAACAAAGTTTTATTGCCTATTACAGACATGCATACCGATATTCCAGTCATGTATCATGCCTATTTTAACCAGAAAGATTTGAGTGAAGTCTGAATAAAAATGGTCGCTGAAAAAGACATGCATGTGTGTAAACTGTGCTGGTATTTTTGGCTTACACGTCTAGGGCATTGAATAGCATCCCATATCCATAACAAAACTTAGTTTTTGTGTGGTGTTTGCCATGCTTACACACTACGTGTCCAAGGACACAGGTCAAAAAATACGCTGAATAACAGTTTCGGTTACGGGTAATTAATTATACCCCCTTTGGAGAAAAAATATTTAACACAGAAAAAGATAGCTGTTCTGTTAAATAAGCATTATAAAAACTACACCAATAAAAAAATGAAAATACAGAAGGAAATCTTCAAAAATCTACAGGGTTTATTGTGAGTACACAACTACAGGTCCTTCAAAGTTTTGTATTTTGTTCTTTTGAATTTCTACATAATGATCATGAGTGTGCAAATTTTGAGCAGCATGTGCACAAAAAGCAGACATTTTAACTTTGAAAATGCATTCGTTTGGTTCATGAGAAGCAAGTCATAAACATGATGTTTTTACGCAGCTTGAAATGTTTGTAATTTTTTTTTGTTAATTTTTTCCCATGAGGCTCTTTATGGTGCAACTTACACAATTTTTTTTTGTAAGTTACAGCTTTACTGTAAATATTTGGTATGAAACGCTTACTGCAATAAAATAATATTTGATTGAAAGTTGAAAACCATAGTATTTTTATTTCTGTTGTAACATGTTAAACTGACAAGTGAGTGCACAATTACCTTGAAGCTGATTCTTTTGTTCAATTCTGCAACAAAAACCACTCATCCCATTTTTTTACTTGAAAAACCTTACATTCAATTTCTCATTTGTGAAATATCCGCTAAAAATTTCCTTATGAATTATAAAAAATGACTTTTGAAATTCACATTACATGTACTGCACTTGCAATGAAAAATACTTCATGTAGTCATTCAGTAAAGAAAACAAAACAATTGCAAGCAGATGACCTGAGTCTGTACAGTAAAGAAAGTGACACGATATGCTCAGTGATGGTACATGTGGTTTATGGAAGTCAAAGGAGAAGCGAGCAACACTACACTGGTATCAGGATACGCAAGACAGTGTGTGGCCTGGTGATTAGAGATTGTGACTCATGATCAGATGGTCGAGGGTTCCAATGCAGCAGCTGGCAAACAGTTTGTGACCTTGGGCAAGGGGAAGTCACTTCACCCTGGTCCCTCACGGGTGCCCGTGATGGCACAGACAATACATGTATGTGGACTGATACCGGCTGCTAAATTGTCTTGCCTGTTGAACAGGATTTAACTGTAAAGCACACTGAGATTACTCGTTCTACAGAACACACTAAGCAAGCACAACGAATGCTATTACTATCACACCATTTTCTTGTTTGCCACAATTCAAAAGCCTTCCCTTTAGACAGCTGCCACATTCAGGATTCCATTTTCCCCATTTATATACATGTACATAGATTCCTATTTATTATCTAACAATAAGAAGGGGCTGAGCTATTCTTCAGCATTGCTAGAGTTAACACTGGCTGGATGTCCAAGCTAGAAGACCATTCCTGTCCATCCATTCGCCCAACCCTCAGGATGAGGATCCACCAGAGTGCATCGGCGAGATGTCCTCCGGCACTGCTACCTGGTTCAGACAGTCTCGCTCCAACAGACACTGGAGTTCCTCGGATGTCAGAGGCTGCTCAGGGAACATCCTCCTCTTCAGCTCACTAATAGTCCTCTCCTCTGACCCCTCGGTCATGTCCATGGAGACCATGGAGGAGGAATCCTGGGATACAAAACGGTTCAGGGCATCCTCCTTGATTTTGCTGAGGGACTGAATCATTTCCTTGGCACTGATTTTCCCACTTGTTTTTCCCTTAAGACGTCTCAGCTTTGCCTCTACACAATGTACATATATATAAAAAATAATAATCAGTCACCTCAAGGACTTAAAAGAGCTCAAGAGGATATAAAATGAATCCAAGAAACTCCTCTCTGTCAACCTAAAAGGCCCATACCAGTCATGATTGGTTTGTTATTGGGATTTCAAGCTATTCATGGTGACAGACAACTAAGGTGGAAAGCTTGCGGTAGCACCATGCAAGGATACGATCTCTTTTGCGAGTCTGTATGGTTCTGAAAAGAACCGTGAGGAACTCAGACCCATACAGACTCACAAAAGAGATCGCATCCTTGCATGGTGCTACCGCAAGCTTTCTACCTTGGTTTGTTATCGCTTTCAATCTATAAAACTACCGCTCACTGCTTGTACTTCTTTCTAAATAAAAACCTCCTAAAACCTTAAAAGATTCCATGACTAGGGTTAACAAAAATTTCTGGAATCCTTGATGAAAATTTTCCAAGTAACAATAAAAACGTAAACGATCCAGGATGAACGAGTAACAAGTAGGCAGTAATGACTGACGTGCAAGAGAGATTCAGTCATAACTTAGTACATGTACATGTAACTCCATTTTTTGAGAGGAATGTTTTCAACACTAACCTACCATCAACTGCTTGCGGCTTGTGACTTGTTAAGCTAAAGTGATGATACATGTAGATCATTCCTACATTATTCTGTCCAGGGGAGGTGCACTGGATCCCCTTGTGTCCTCAATTGAAACCTCCGTCGAGGGATGAATACCGTAGTTCTCTTCCAGATAATCTACGACAGCTGCGGTGCTGGTAAGTACGTTGAAGACACGCTTGTCAGCTCTCATGACCATCTTCTCCATCATATAAATGAGATGATGGTGGAAACATTGGAATGGGGTACCCAGCGATAGAGATATATCCAACCACTGCTGGACACAGTGTGTTGGTGTTAAGTTGTAGCCAGCAAACATAGCTGGGTTCTCTAGTATGCCCCTTGCTGCCATGACACCGTCCACATTAGTATGATCACAGACTCTTTGCATGTCTTCTAGACTCCTGATGTCACCATTGGCAATCACAGGCACACCCACACTCTCCTTAATCAGTTTGATGGCATCGTGATTGGCTGGCTCAGCTCGCTCCCGAGGAGTCCTTCCGTGCACTGCTATCCAGGAAACCCCTGCAGTCTCTGCCTTCTGGCAGAGATCCACAGTGTCACGTAGATCGGGATGGATTCTGATCTTGATGGAAGTGGTGAAGTCTGCTCTTCCCACCCTGGCCTTTGTCTGCCTCACCATATCTCTTATCAGCTCAGGGTTCTTGATCAGGTGGGCACCATATCCGTCACACATCGCCCACCTCTGCGGACATCCGCAGTTCAGGTCAACGCCATCCGCGTATGGAGCAATCAACTCCGCTGCATCGGCCAAATCTTTGCCATTATTTGCTGCAAACTGGACAATGAGCGGCCTGTCCCCTTTATTAGTTGTAAACTCATTGTCTCTGGCTTTCATTGATCTGACAAAACTGTTGGACATTATCATGGGCGTGAAAGTGAGGTCACAACCATATCTCCTGACCAGTGTGCGAAAGGCCAGTTTTGAGTACCTCACCATCGGTGCACAGATTTTCAGAGGTTTCTTTTTGTCAAGTAAATCCATAAGAGATTGATGCTGGATAGCTTTATCACTGGATTGTTCTTCATGTGCCATCATGCACCTGATTTCAGGATTCTACAACTATCAAACAAGCCATCTTTGAACATCCACTGCAGTTGGCTTCAGAGTATGAAAAAGTTGAAAATAAACAAAAATTATAAAAATGTGCAAAATAAAGCAGAACTCTTCTGTCCATGTATGGTTTATGTACATGTACACTATCCTTTATGATATCCTACATTTTCAAGAAAATTAATGTAAGATTTTACTTTTATGTTGTTATCAATGACTGGAAAAACAAGCAAGAGGTACGTTCAAGATATTTAAGGAAAAATGTGGATACTGGATTTCACACAAAGGGGAAATCATTACTCACTGTTAGTGTACCCATGAGCACATCAAAGTAAAATCTTTCCAATAACAAAACAAACATGACTGGGAATGACTGGCAAGATAACTTGGCCTGATAATGGAGCAAAATGTTTCCTCCACCAGCATCTGATTTTTGTTTTCATTTGTAGAAATAAAAAGACCTCCAATGTCTGTCAGTCATTATGTCAGGTGGAATAAAAGGAAATGAATAAACAAGGGTAAAAACTGAAAAGATCTTGTACAGGCACATGTACCTGCCTCCATGGCCAAGTGTGGAACTAGTGTGTGGCACAAAAGAAACCATCGCAGTTTGAACGCTGGTCTCAACCTTCAATTGTACAGTGTGGCTCTATTTTGATAATATGATGTATCTCACTTTATGGACATTTTGACAAAAAGTGACTAAAAGATTCGGCCTTTTTCTGTTTTGCTTGTTTGGTTCTGAAGACTGCGAGTTTTTCTTTTGTCCCAATGACCACAAATTGGATTTTACGTATAAATCATTTTTTTATGGATAATTATAAAAAATATGTGATTTTTTAGGAAACTAATGCATGCCTGACTTTCATTCAAAAGTCTGAACAGTAATTTTTTTCACGTTAAGATACATACACATACATGTATCTTCAAAGTGCTTCATTTCTTGGCTGTGACAATTTCCGAGTCAGAAACAACACCCTCACATTACCGGGATATCACTCAAACTGAAATTCACCAAAAACTTGACTTAAAGGTGCATCATAAAAATTGTGACAAGCCCGAGTGATACACATCAATATTTTTAGTTCATGAACATGTTCAGGACTTACACACGAAGTAATTGTGAATCCTTATCAAAGGGTCTCTTTCATTCTCACGAAATTTGATTGCAACACAAAAGGAACATCCCGTTTCAGGTTGCTTAAATCATCCATGGTTGATTTGAAGTTATGAAAGGTTATGCACTACATGTATATTCCACTTTTTGAGCTTGATAGCAGGTAACGGTCAAGTTCAAGCTGAAGAATGCCTATTCATTGGGCTGCAAGGAGAATAATTCCATATAGGGATGTCACTTGACACCCTGTGAACAACTCAATGGGGCAGCGCGTACATCCGGATTCTCACAAAATGGCAGGTACTGCGCTGGTGAAAACAGCGACCATGGCGACATACGCACGCATCAGCCAGTGTGCATCAGTGCGAACGATCGCGCTCATTGCAGTTGTTTTCACCAGCGCAATGTGGTTGCTACATGCAATTATGTGAAACTCCCGGATGTCTGCACGGCCCCATAAGACTGTTCTGAAAAAAAGGGATGCAAAAGTGTAATGTACATGTAAGTGAATACCTAGCTCCTCAATATTTTCACAAACATGTATTTGTGACATCAGATCAAATATTTGCACGGCAAATTTGTAAATGTTGAACACATTTCAACTTGAGCAATTTATTAAGAAGTAAAATTTGCTTTGCTTTTGCATTTGCGTGAATTAGGCACATAGCGCACAGGCCTTTAATCCGATTAGAAGCCAAGACTGTGGTGGCATCACACGGGCGTCGGTCACTTCGCCCCATGTCCACTCCGCCCCATTTCTACTGTAATGTCATCACACTCACACCTACAATCTGCACTTTGACGTAAGTATGCATTTTGCAAACCATGACACAGTATTGCCATTGGGCAAAGAGCATAGAGTTAGGTAGCCCCACTAGTGTGGCACAGATCACTCTCGATTTATAAGGATAAATCGGGAGTGATCCTAGCCCCACTAGTGTGGCATGGATTCTCACACCCGATCCATCCTTAAGGATGGATCGGGAGTGAGAGTCCGTGCCACACTAGTAGTGGGGCTAGAGTGATCCGTGCTACACTAGTGGGGCTAAGAGTAAGGCCTATATTATTTTTTAAAATTTAACTCTAGTATGACAAAGTAAAAGAGGCATCTTGTGTAAGTTAACCGCGCACGTCAAAAAAAAGGGTTGTGCCACCACAGTACATGGCTTCTAATGGTCAAATTACACTATTGTCACTGCGCCTCGAACACACACATGCTAAAGTAGCCCAGCACCCAGGCATGCCAGGCATGGACTGACGGGAGTTCAGCAGCTTCCCCGCAGGGAGATGCTGGCTACAATTACCGCTCAATTGTAACAGAAAATCAAACCCACCCAAAGAGGCCAGATAATTGTCCGATCGTTCAGACGCACTGTTTTTCAACGGTGGCTGTGGTAAACACTGTGAGCTACCATTTTGTGCGACAACTAATGGATTAAAATCATCCTGAAATCTACACTCGCGAGTTTTTGCTTCGCTCGGGTCGTCCGCCATTTTTAAAGCTACCAACGTGTTTCATAAAGTCATAGTCTTGAATCAAGCCAAGTTTCACAACCTACACAACGCATTCACTGACGTACATGTACTGTACATGTACATTGTACATGTACGTTAGTACGTGTAACAGGCAAATTACAGCAGATGGGTTTTGAGCAGAGACTAAAAGTCGATGCATTGACATTCGGCCATTAATGCATTCGGCTTACGATTTCATTTCTATGGCGCGCCAATGTGGCCGCAATTCCAAGTTCGTCTAATTTTTCTCTTTTCAGCTTCAATGTAGACAAGTCGGCCAGCAAAGACGCGAACGTCCTACATGTATCAAAACTCATCCCCTTTTTTTCAAACACACATCATGGACAAACTACCTTCTTAATGTGCGTTCTGTTATCCTAATTTATAGTGAAAATTACCAATTGCCAAGTTACCCAAAGGAAACGAGATTTGGAATATCAACCCTAGCTTCAGAACTGATACTGAAAATAATTTACGATAGGGAGAATCCAATTTCTCAAATACATAATGCAATTAATTAAACAAAGAATTTTTATGAGTAGGTCACTGAAATTTCATTCATTTATTTTAACACTCTCCTTAATATCAACAGGGGTATAACAACGTACATATTTTAACAATTAAACAAAAATCATCTTATGACTTGATATTCAACTGAAAACCATAAACATTTTTGTGTATTCATTTACAATAACAACAAAAGTTGACTGCTTGATCCAAAAGTTACGGCTACGGCCAGCAGAAATACAAGTCTTTGGGAAGTGGACCAACCGCTAGCTGGCGGTTCTCATGGGTAAGTAGATTATTTTTAGCCACTCTCAATTAGGATTCTGGCAGCGGACAATTCTGCTGCTATCCTCGGACTGTAGAAACAATTTAAGCAGAAGTTTACAAAAGTGTACATGCACATTGCACACAAAATGTTTTTAAAGTCAGAAATTTTAATGGTGTTTATTTTTCCAGCTGTTCTGCCTTTTGGAGGTGTTATAGAATGCATAAAATAACTTTTTATGGTAACTTCATCTGAAATTACTAATTAAGTTTTCCCCTTTCTCCATGTGTGTTTCACGTGGGTATTTCTTCAGAGATAAGGTGCCAAAGAAGGAGGTGTGTCTTAAAAAATTGCAATTGCGTTCCTGAAGACTATTCCAACCCCCCCCCAATCCCTCTCTCAGCTATAAATATATAACAAAGTTGTAGCCTGCAATACAGGCGTTTCACAATAGTGCGCCTCCAAGAGTTTGCAACGCACTGGCCAATCACAATGTGTAAAATCTGTCGACCCTTTCCAAACGTGCAATGGGTTGACAGATTTCTTACACTGTGATTGGTCAACGCGTTGCAAACTCTTGGAGGCGCACTATTGTGAAACGCCTGTATTATTTTTTTCAATCCAGACAGAATCTGAAACAAAACTGCTGCATGAATATGCAATAAATGCAAGTCTCAGAAGCAACTACAACTTGGATTTTTTTTCTCAAGTCGGATAATTTTCCTGATATCATCTTGACATACTACCGTTCATCTCTTCCAATGGATTGATTTATTAAAAGAGAAGCGAATTTCTCTAAGTAATAGCAAAGTGGTTGACAAGTAGAGTTACTGAATGTCATCATCATCATCGTCGTCAGAGAACACTTCTGTGGTTGCTTGAGACAATTCTGTCTGCTGTCGAGTCAAACCTCCTGTTTGGGAAAGAAAAAGTACAGGAAAAACTGTTAAGTTTAAAAGAAAGTTACAGGCATAAATCTGAAAGGGGATGGGCATATGTCTCCTCCCCCTCCCCCGACCTTGGGGGATTTGAAATGTAATCATCTCCACAAGTTTTGGCAATGGGAAACTTGAATTTGGGGTTTGAGGGTTATTTTTAAACATTCATGTAAAGTTAAGGCACCCAAGTGTGCAGGCTGTGTGATGCTGTGTCCAGCAACCCCCCCCCCCACATCTGAATTTCCATGGTGGAGGTCATCTTAGGATTTGGTCATCCCCTGTGAGCCCCGAGCTGGAGCAAGAGAGGGCGCAATTTTCATAGCCACTCTGGGTCCTTTGGTAGGAACTGCACTTCGCTGGTTCACAAACGACTATGAAATGCTTGTGTTACTGTCGCATCGCCACCAACAAATTATAAGCACTCCCAACCAACATGATGGCTCTTTTCAGCCGATGAGGGGGTGCTTCTGCTCATGGCCAATGGGAAAAAGTGAAGCACATGTGTTTCAAGTTCACTCTATTGGAATGAAGATCAGAGTAATAAAAGAAGGCTTTTGGGGAGGGGGGTCTTCTTGTATTCTTCTATGTGAACTGTAATCTTTATTTCCTTCTCATAAACCTGATAAGTTGCAGAGATTATGCTGTTACAATTCAAAAAAACTGTCTGCCTGTCAGATTGTCCTCCATGGCTGCTTTTTTTATAAATTTGTAAACAAGCCTTGCTATTTGTTTAGCATTATCAGTGCGCAGTGTACTGTTTAATCCTTTTGGGAAGTCATCTTACCATGGTCTGGGCTAGGTGATCCAAACTGTGAACTGTAAGATGGAGAGAAAGTGACACACAAGAATTAGAAAGAAACAAAATGAAAGTAAGACAGGAGTGTGCAGATAATTCAGCAGCCCCCATCCCACATGAAAGCAGGTGATGATAAACGGCCTTAGAGGTGCTAAGTGCAAATTATAGAACGTGTTGCTGACAGTTTTGTACATACAGTCTAAAAAATATGTAAACCCTGTGCAATTTAAGCTGATTATTGAGTCTAATGGGACTCTGCTCAGGACAATCCAACCCTGAGCGGCCCGAGAGCAGGCACAGTTTTCCTAGGAACTGAGGCTCCTTTAGTGGGAATTGCACTTTGCTGGTTCACAAAGGACTATGAACTGCATGTGTCACAGTCAAGTTGCTACCAACAAAATGAACACTCCCCACCAATATGGCTCTTTTCAAGCCAATGAGGGGGTGCTTCTGCTCAAGGTGGATAGCCATAAGACTCATAATGACTCAATGCCTCAGGTGAAACAGAAAAACAAAACCACAGCAAGTCACAATCAGCAAAACTCCAGTTGGTGAAGAAAAAAAGTAGCTCAATGTTGCATTTCAGAACCGGCAAAGCGTACCTCATTTGACATGAGATCAGTTCTGACTAAAGCCTAGCCAGCATAGTATGTGCTGACAAGTCACAGTCTTTGGCAAACCTTTTGATAACAATGCTTACATGATATTTAATTAAACATGTATAAATAAGTATTAAATCAATGCTGATGTTTCTTAACAAAGGCCCCTTTTTTGGGAATTTTCCCCAACACACATCAGGGGAACATTAAATACTACCAGCCGGGGACTCCGAAATCGGAGCCGTATGGTTTATATGCGTGGCAGGGGTCTCTGAACTCGGACAAAGGAAACAGGGCCCTGTAACAAAAGACCATACTCCGAACAACAGACCAGACTGCTGGGCATTACCGGCATTTTTCACTCTCAAAAGTGGTGATAATCCAGCGTTATTTTGAAACCGTATACCAGGGTTTGGGGCATTGAGAGCAAGCGGATTACCACCGGGGACAAAAGCGCTCCACCACCGCAGCGATGAGCCACACAGCAACGCTGCACGCTAATCTGGCCCCTATTGAAAAGAGGTCAGCAGTGCACTGAGCCAGGTTCGTGAGCAAAAGACAGCTGTATAACACCGCACAATCTGGGCTCTGTTTACAAGGCTGCAGGCCTGGCTGAAATACTCGGGCATCAATGAAGGTCACCTGTCAACTTAGAGTAGTGCCTAAAGATTACTTCGTGCGGCTATAAATGACCGTTAAATGGAATGATGAATTTTTGAAGGATTTTGAAAACTGAAAAAATGATAGTCATGCCGGCCCAGCATCATCAACGTTGAAAAATGCCCCGGCATGAAGTGGTTAATGTGCAATCACCTTCACTGAAATGTAAACAATGCTTAAAGTCATCAAATGGAATCTGTGCAGTAAATCAGTAAAAGGCGTTCACACACCAATCATGCCAGTATACAAGTGCTTTAAAGTATTCTTACTTCTTTCCAACTTAAGGATTACTCGTTTCACTATGAACATTCATAAAGGTGAAAAAAAAGGCACGTTTAAACTTCAACATCTTATCATCATCTATGAAACGACAATCATGAAGTGACTTCCGCGATACAAACTTTGTTCCTACTACAAAGCAGGTGCGTTAATTCATAAAATGATTCCCATTCATTAACCATTTAGGGGATACAAATACTAGAATAGTAACAGCACAGATGTGACTGAGTGCATCACAAGTCAGGTGGGGAATGATCAATGACAAAGGCAGGCCATGCTTATTTGAACAGTTTGACTCTGACTTGAGTCCCACAGCTTTGCTCATGACCACAGTTCATTTGAGCAGCTCAAAACTGAATTACTTGAGATAGATCTTCAAGGGGACTTGCAGGGACTTTTGAAAGCCTTGATGTTTAGTTCTTATGGATAACAAATGATTGGGCACTGTCCACCAACTGTTTTTTTCTGTGTCTGAAGCTTGATTTTGGCAGAGCTCATAAAATGCCATCAAAACTCCCTTGCTTGGATTATGACCACGGTATGCATCACCCTCAACTGTTCTCGCTCACAGCGTATAGCCCTGTATTATCTGACTGTTCTGCTTCATTCTCGCGGTCGGGATGACATAACTGAGTCTTGATTCTTCTCTGATTGGTCAATTGGTGGCTATTCCATATTTCTCACTCAAAACTCAAAGGGGCAAAATGGTGTTGTGGTCTATGGGGAAAATCTGAATTGACTAAACTCGTAACCTTTACATCAAATGTGCCTGGAATTTCACAGTTCATGCATTTTGAGTATCTCCAACATCGTACCGAAAAGGTTTCAGTTACTTTTATCATGTTGCTCAAAAAATGAGGAAAACATGCAAATCCCTGTACAAAGCGAATGGAGAGTTGCCCCTTTGCCCAGACATGAGTGTAAATAAATGGAACAACCTCCGACCACGGGAAATGGCTACATTTGCAGACTTACTTGGCTTTTCCTTGGTCGTCGTCGTCGTTCTCCTCATCCTGTTCTGAGCCCAGAGGTGCTAGGGTCATCGGATTGAATTGGTCAAGAGGTTCCCCGATGATTCCAACTCTGGCATAAATAAAATCAAATCTTCTTGGAATTGACATTTACCCGCACCCACTCTGGCCATGTGTTATACACAGCCACGGCTGATTGACTCAAACATCAAGCGTGCCTCGTCTCACCTCCAACTAAATTATTTCAGCGTGCCAATGCGCCATTTGTTTTGTACACACATGCACAAATCTGGGTTGCACTACTGACTTTGGCTCCTGTGTGCGGCCCGTTGTGGTGACAATTATTGCCTCACGGGTGCATCCCAGAGTGTTGAACAAAAAAAACAGGTGATTGCAGTGACAAATGCAGTGCAAATACTTTCCAAATGACTTGTGGATCAGAATATGCAGCTTTTCAGCTTTTTTTAGTGAAAGTGAGCACAAATCTTGCCTTTTTTGGAAGACAAAATTTCCAGCCAAAAAATGATACCATTCGCAAGTAGTTAGAATAATGGTGTTGATATCGATCAGTGTTATAACAAACATTACTTGAACTACAGACTATAAATCACTATTCAGATTATACGGTGCTGGGAATATTATCAATTGGACATTCTCTATTGCCAATGTTTAGCATTCCCTGAGGGCTCAGATCTATGCTTTAATGACACTAGACCCTATTGTCACCTGGCTACAGCAACTGCTATGGCTGACGCACAACAGGTACGATTGCACTTGTTTTAACACAGTTGACGCAAAATGAATCAACTTCAGCTGAGATATTGCAAACCTTGGCGGGTGGGTGTTCTCCCCCCTGGAAAAAATCAGCCAACGCCCATGACCCACAGCTCATCCTCCTGCCATTTGTGGTCTCAGGAGAGTACTTGTGTTAACATGAATGACACGCTTGAACACAGCCCATGACAGCAGGATATGGAATATTCGTGTCATAGTAAAAAAGTACGATAAGGAAAGCTCTGCTGTCAACAGTAACTTACTGACCCTCCCCTTACTGTGTTTCACATCAAATGCAACTTCAAATAGCTATGCTGTACGATTGCTCACACACTGTACACATGATGGTTACATCAACTGCCAAGACCTACCTGTGGCACAACTTGATTTTATGACCACCCTCGTCGTCTTGTGACGACCCAGTACTACCTCTGTAAAGATATCCAAAAAAGGACACAGTTGAATTGCATTCTAAGAAGTGTTTCTTTAAGTTCTTTAATCGTCAATGACCTGTTCACAAGTACTTTTCATCCAGTCTAAATGTCATTAACAATAAGAACAGTCATGATGTAATTGGTTTTTACTTTAAAAATGACATCATGAATACGTAAAGGCTAACAATTACTGATATGTGTTTGTGACAGGTTTCCACTTTGTTATTACTTTGAAAGTTTGTGACCCACTCCCTGAAAGCGAGTCATAGGCAAGTTGTTTTAGTATTTTTGTTTCACTTCACATTGGAAAGATCAAACTGAGTTTTTGGTGTTGATGTCACTCACTTTGGCACCCTGAAAATTAATGGAAATTGCGAGGATGAAACAACATAGACGATTCATCCTGATCTCCATAGTGCAAGATATTTTTAAAGATGCGTAACTCAAACATGGCTGTGGTGACTGATTACTTATTTACAGAAAGTGGTAACAATTTAAGAAGAATTTCTGCCAAGAAAGTACGTCAAGTAGGGTTAACACTTGATAGGTCACAACATTAATAAAGTTCAGATGATTATAAAGATGAACAAAGAAATTAATTGCAGTGGGAATTGAACCTGTGGCCTCCGGAATACCATACCGGTGCTCTACCAACTGAGCTATCCAGCCCTATGCTGGTGACTCTATCAATATCAATATCTTTGTTCAGGGGGCGCTAGCCAGAAGCCATTACACCTGAAACACCATGTAGCCAGGGATCACGCCCCAATAACATGATACAACCTGGGAAATGGTGAACAGGGATCGCCCAGAAAGGATACGGCTAGAAATGTCCTGGTTGAATTATTCCGATAATAAATCTGGAAATCTTAAAAAAAAAACTGTTTTTGATGTATAAAAGTGAGCTTGTAAAATATTAACCTTTGAGAAATATTCTGACAAGGATCAATATCTTAGGCCCTCTTAAACTTTTTCAGACCCGGTTAAGGCTTTATCCTTTCTTACCCTGTTGAGTCCAGGGTCATCCGCTCAAACAAATACTCATTTTCCTCCTTAGGAGTTGGCAATAAGGACACCAGGACTGGTGAACGTTGACTGAAGGGAAACAACAAAGGGATATCCATTCAGCTAGTGGAACACATTACAAAAAATGAGGTATTAAGCTAGATTTATTTGGTTTCGATGAGTGTTATAGTCAAGTCCATCACAAGTCCTTGTAGGTCGTAACAAGTCCCAAGTCCACTACAAGTCACAAATCAGTTCAGACAGAGTAATCTGCCGTGACTTGAAGTGCACCCTCACTGGCCAAAGAAAGACACTGGTACAAAGTTTTCCTACAAGGTTCCTACTGGCATTCAGAGTGCAAACAAAGACCATACATTTCAGAATAAATTTGTTGCGCGTACTCAGTGTGCCCTGCGTCAAACACACATAAACTTGCACACCTATATGGTGAATTCGTACCAAAGGATTTTCGATTCATTAAAAAACACGCCCTCTTTTGTTCGGGGCGGATAAAGCCTGGAAGGCCCCTACATGTCAATCACTGGTCCTCATAGGTCCTCATAAATTCAGTTCAGACCAATCCATTCAAACAGCTGTGATAAGGCTTTTCTCTGAAAATGCTAATCCATTCTCGATTAAACCCCACACTTTGAATCGACTTGTGATTAACGTGACGGAATGTGATGATTGACCCATTCACAACTCTGGCTACTGTACTTTCAGAGCAGATTTATTAATTTCTGTAGCTCATCTCAGTCAACGAAATGTACACAATACACTTACTTAATGATCTGAGTGATTGCCGGCCGCTTGCTAAAAGAGAAAAGAAAAGACGAAACAACACAAACAAATATTTATCAACCTGAATTTGCAATGGCAATGGACAATCCGGTTTAAGGCATGCATACTTAAAAAAAGTTGAAAATTGATTTTGAATAGTAAATTTCATGTGTTCCTTTCACTAGAATCCAACAGCTTGTACACAGTACTTGATATCATCAAGCTGTGCTACAATTATGAGACGCAGAACAACACTCTGAATAATTGATACATGTACAGATAAACACTGAGAAATGTACGGTTTTCTTCTCCTGTATTCAGCTGGTGACAGCAGCTTCTTGCTGTGGTGGTCTGCATCTATCGTCTCTTGGGCCTTCCCATCATCTTCCTCGTCCTCGGGAATGTTCTTTATGCGAAGGGCGGGGTTGAACACGTCCGACCGAAGCATCCTGTCAAGAACATGCAAACGTGATGAGAGATAAGAAATCAGGTCTGAATGCTATTTTGCCATGTAAAATCAAAGGTATACAAGAAGAGTGTATTTACATGTACTTACAGTATACAAGAGTGTGAACACATAGAGAGTATGCCAATTTTGCACCGCATGTCAAAATAATGGTGTTCATTGATGCATGGCCCTGGATAAAATATCAGTGCATCATTGGAAAGCACAGGTATTCTTTTGGAAGATGATGCCAAACTTTTTGCTTGTAAAGATACAGTTTAGAATGATGAACTCTTTAAAACAGGAATCCTTTTTTGAACATCCCGTACAGCAGACCAGACAGAGAGTTGGTGTACCTTGATATCAACCTGCAAGGCTGGTACAGGACCTAGCTTATTTCAAACACCTGTGTCTTGATGATGTAGCTTAATGATGCAAGTTTTACATGGGAACATGCTTTGTGCAGGTTTCTACATGCATTTCTCTTAAATGTAAGGGAACTAGCTGACATGTCTCGGTGGATGCACTCGTTGAACAGTGGACTTGATTATGCAGGTTAAATTTTCCATGCTTTTCCTAACAAATGAACTACATTGATCAAAACATGGTCGTGTAATTAAGTTATCTAATTTCAGTACTGGAATTCAGTATTTTATTATTTAAGTTTTATGAGTATTTTTGTGTTAGGTATTTGGTGTCAACATTTGAACCAGGTGATTGCAAACTGATGGCTGGCGTTAAATTTGGTTTGGCAAAATAATAAATAATAAACCAAAAACTCTGAGGTAGCGCAGGGCCTTATTAATTCCCACCTTCCCATTTCCTTGTTGATGACTTCATACTCCTTACGGCGGAAGACAATCCAGACCAAATGGACACAGAATCTGTACAACGTCTGTAGAGATACCAAGAATATGCTAATTAATTCAAATTTATTCAATTGTTGGCATGAATCCACACAAAACTAAAAACTACAGTAAAGGGATGTCATGTCTGTGTAGACTAGTGGTCCATTCCTCGCCTATCATTCCTGCAGGCCGGATTGGCTTCCCAGCCCAGTCCACATGTTGATAGCATTTTCAGTTTCTACTTGATTCCATGGTTTTTACCCAGAATATTCCTCTGGGGTTTTCCTCCCACCTCTACAACTGTAACTGCTTCTCACTGTCTCCTCTCTACAAGTTTCTTCAGGGTTGCAAACTACAGTACCGACGGCATTTTTGAGGAATTCATCTTTTTTTATTACCAGATATGTTGAATGATAATAAAAATGATACAGCTATTTTTACGACCCATGAAAAACATTTTATGCAAAGTATTGCTATACATAAAAATATGCATTTACCTCATATATTTCTCTGTCTTTGTAAGTTGATGAAACCCTATCACTGTGAAAAGAAATGTTCCCAGAGGTTATAATTTTTCCAACCTAAAATTGGTATTAATGAAATCTAGAATTCTCAATCAAGAATCATTTTTGTACTCGTTAACAAGGTAAGTTAAATAATTTAACATTTACAAGAGTTAACCAATGTGAGAAAGTGCAAACTTACTGTAAAAACCTTACTAGTTTATCAGTGAAAGTGACATTTCTATCTTAGGTTAGCAGTCTTTTCAGTTGCACTAGAGCAATAGAGAAGTCATGTTTACCCAGGAACGTACCTACGTTCTGATGACATCAGGTTTTGTTACACGTATGCTTTCCTATGGAGCTTCAACTCTCCCACAAGAAAATGTACACGTAAAGAAACCGTACATGGGCCTATTCGTATGTGATATGACCTGGCAACCCTTTGTATACATCCAGGTATTTGTGCAATGGGCTTAAAGTTAACACATTCAAAATGCTGCAAGCACGCCTACTAATTGCTCCCTCACAGCGCCCTCTAATACCCATGCACACAGCCTCTAGACTTATTGAAACAGATGCTGTTACTGCAGTGGGACCACACTCAGGTAAACATTTTTAACTTGTGTGAGTGAGCACTTTGGCAAGTCATAACACTACACCGGTCCAAGAGAAATGTAACGCGTGTGTATCAACTGCCTATGAATGTGTTGCCCCACGGTAACGGCTTCTCATTCTGGTCACAGGATTAGCCTTTATGGCTCAATCTTCTTCTGCCTCAAACCAACCTTCCACATCCCATGTGATGATGCTCGGGCAACCCTAGGCCCAGGATCAGCACGCAGTAACTCTTGGCCAGCCTGTGCTGGGCTGCCTCCATGTAAGCCTTGATCTCTGCCATGGCCTTCTTCTCGGCTTGACTCGGCTCGCTATGGCCAATCAAATACAACACCAACAGACGATGAGAAAAAGTGTTTCCAAATCAGGTTATTATTCAGAAGTACCAATGTGCAAAAGCGAAACAAAGAGTTTGCTTATTACTGGAAATATTGAGAACAAAATCACTGAAAAAAATATAATTTCTCCATGTCATGACAATCAGGAGGATAAGTTGAGGCCAGCTTTTTTTGTTCGGAGAAATATGAGCATACAAAGTTTAGCAACACATGCACATCGTTAATCATGTAGGATTAGAAATTAACAATATTTGTTAATTAATTAAATATCCAAATAATCAGCCTGGCCCTAGCCTTTCTATTTTTTGTGAACGGCCGGGGCGCGACACGGAAATGAAAACATCCAAAACATTAAGTTTGGAACCAAAGAAATAAAATATAACAATGTTGAACTTACGTCGTCATTGTCTTTGGTTTACTTTCCAGCGTGATTCGCTCAAAAAAGGAAGAGAAGTAGTTGAGAAGACCCAAGAGAAATTCGTCAAACTGGCTTAATCTACAAAGACAAGACATAAAACCAGTGCTGTACGGAGAAATTTAAAATGAGGAGCCACTGGCTCCTAGGTTGATTCTGTACATAACGTACACACATTTGCAAAATACACAAGTTACATGTATAAAATCTGACAACACACACAGAGAAACATTATTGCTGTCAGTTATCCATAGGATAAACAGGCTTTGGATTTTGTGCTTGTGGAAGAGATAAAAAAGGGCAATCAATTATATGGAAATATGGCATATTTGTTTTTTAATTTTGGGTATTTTGTACCTGGAACCAGACTGGACCAAGGGAAGCTTCAAACCTTTTGGTTTCAAACTTACATTTGGGACTGAAACAAGTTTATTTTACTGGACTCGTGGAGTGCATCGACTAGTGCATCAAATGAATATCTCCCCCCTACACACTCTATACAGCATGCGACCACAAACCAGTCAACTAGAGTACCTAGTACCCGTACATGCGTGTATGTACCTACATGCAAGCTACGTTGCACTTTAACGTGGGCTCATAGAGCTGGAGACACATTGCTTGGTGCATGGAGAGAAAAAACGGGCAGTGATCGTTCATGAAACATGACTGACAAGGTGGGCGACTAACTGGCACAAATCATGATCACCACTGGCAATAAATATTGAACATTTGGTTGCATATCATCAGTTTGAAGGCGCAAATGCGACTGTTTGGGTCGCACCTTACAGCACTGCATAAAACTCTGTTTTTTATCTTTTTTCATAACTCTGAAATTTTCAAATTGAAATCTGAATGGTTTAGTCTGCGACCAGTGAAAACAAAGTTGAGGATAATTCCAATTTCCTCTTTCCCACCTGTTACAGGATCACCCTTCCCAGGTTGAATTAAAACTAGTTGTCTTGGTAAGACTGTTTGTTTGTCACTGTTGTCAATAAAATACAGATCAGTTCTTAAGGAACAGTAGGAATAGAAATGACGCACGCTGCTGTTGCCCCATCAACTTTGCCTGTTGGCGCCATTCCCCCGATAAAAAATCTACTTGTTTCAGATTAGCAAATTGGCTTGTGTTTTTCCCAAACACAGGCTGCAAGAAGGATATTCATAAAATTATAGGAGAATTTCAAAAATCATTTCAACTCACTCAAACAAGCACTTCTCAAAGGACTGAGTCTGAACGTTGACTTCAATCAATGAGGAAAGAACAACAGCTGGAAAAAAGAAACAAGTAATTCATTATAAACTGCGATCTTGTCTCAAATGCTGAGTGTCTGAGTGGGTGGTTGAATCAAGCTGGGTGAATCAAGTTCCATTCTCCTTGAGGAATTCAAAAGTAAAGTGCAAAAAAAGTAATATTAAAAAGACAGACTGAAACGGTCAGGGCTGCAAGTGGGAGTAATTGCTGCTTCACGCTCTATGCAAATCTGACATGAGAGCATTTTTGCTGTCGGTGAAATGTGCCCAGTTTTATCCAGTTAATGTATAAAGAATCAACTGTTTTACATTCTTTGAAGCATAAATACCACTTCACTTCTTTTTTTATTTCTGAAATGCCGCACACAAGTCTGACTTTATTTTGCACATGGAGAAATCGTTTTAAGTTCCTCTTGGATAAACCAGTTATGGCTTACATTTGACTCTTTGGAGGGTCACCGTGGTTTCTTTAGTAGCTTTTGACCGAGCAGACTTGGAGGTCAGCCCTTGCCTGGCTGGTCCTTTCCCTTGACCCCTGTCCACATCATAGCGCCCAGATGGTGCCCTGGAAAGGAATGGATCAACTTTGACACTGAAGTAAAGGAACAAGGATCAGAGGTTAAATAAAGCATACTGTCATGCAGGACTACGGGAAAAAATGACCAGAAGAGGTTGGTTGCTGTCCACATTAGGAATTATGCACTTCTATAATCTCAGCTTTTTAGTGAAAAACAAAACAAACATATTCACCTGTCTTTCTTTCCTGGGTGGTCGTTGAACGAAATATTCTTCTTCCAGTGGCCTTTCCTATCTTTTGGATCAACTGCGACATTGCCACTTTAAAGTACAAAAAAACCCTTCACTAGTGAAATCCCTTTATATTAAAAGTCAGTCACATGAAATACAAATACAAACGTTACATCTTAAGAAAGTGAATCTGTGAACACAAAATGCTATTCTACATATTCCGAAAGACGTTGTGAGGTGAGGATTTGATCACGCTCAAAAAGTTCACGCTGCGGTTTCAGGCATACTGGTGAATCATGGAAATAACCTTATGGGTTATGATGAATAGATCAAGTGAGTTTGATTACATGACATGGAATGCAATGACAATTAATAAACATGAGGGGATCCAAACAAAATTAGTGGCATGAGGCAAAAGACTTTCAAGACCATTTATGAGAGCTAGGAACCTCAAAATGCCATTTCTGTATATTTTCTTTTTCGTTTAGTTTGAAAAAAGGTGTGTGGATGTACATGTACGTCCATCCCCGTATTAATTTAAAGCCTTTCGGTTCCCTAAAATGAAAAATGGACAAGTTATGTGAGTTACTTTTTGCTTGTGTTGATCAGAGGTGCAGGCAAACTTCACTAAAAGATGAACAAATATTAGTTACGTCCAATTTAAACATTAGTAAGAATTTGACCAAAAAGTAAAATAAATATTGGCACAGACATCACTGGCTAGCCGTCCAAATGAAGTTCTCAAGATAAAGTTGAAATATATTGCTGTGTTTTCACTTGTACAAGGACGAACATACATGTGTTATCTTTTATGCAAACAAGGTGAATGTTAGAAACAATAAAGTCAGACTTGAAAATACATGTACATGAATTGGGAATTTTGTGAAATTAAACAGTGAAAACCAAGCTGAACACTCCTCATCACCTGTTCATGAACATTGGAGTTCGACAACTACCATGAAGCAGTTAAAAAAACATACATGGCGAGGTTAATTAAGCAGTGGGAAAATGAATTCAAGATCCTTTTAACTTATGTTAACAGATGTCATAAGATGGAGCTTATCAGGTTTGTTAAACATTTGCAATGTTTGTTGTACGTGATGCACCAATTTGTGAGGACAAATAGGATCCATATACAAGTACGTCTGGATTAAAAATCGTCTGGTTTCTTTTTTCTGTTTTCTGTCTTTTCAATTAAAACGCTATCTATGAATAGCATCCAAATAAAAGTCGACTGGAAAGAATTTAGCAGAAATTCTAAATTATTTATTTTAAAAACTAATAAATGAAGACAAAAGGAAATGTTTTATCAAAAAAAGATCATCGCAAACAATAAATGTAACAATCATTCAAAATGTTTATTAGAAACAGTTAGGCCTATATGAATAGAAAGAAAAGTCATTTTTAAAAAAAGAGAAATTTTGATAGGCCTAGGCAGTCTCTGGGCCTAAAACCTGGTTTTCTTTTTACTGGCAAAGGTAAAAATGTCCATTTTACTAGGCAAAGAAAATTTTTGAGCAAGTTCTGTTAATTGGAAGTGTTTTGGGGCTTTCATATATAGTCCAAAAATACATTTTGAAGTCACAAAAAACTTTGGCTTCGCCCGGGTTCGAACCGGGGACCTTCTGCGTGTAAAGCAGACGTGATAACCACTACACTACGAAACCACGTAACTTCTTTCGCAGATTCTAAGCAATATAAATCATGAACAACTACCTTGGCTGAAATTCCAATGAATTTGAGTCTTCTTTCCAATACCATCTTCCAGAGCTTGGCGTAATAACCTTGAAAATCAAACACAAACTTGATCAATTTGCATAGCAGTCAATATTGTATGTTAATAATGTTCTCAACTTTGATCAAAACGCAACGCAATTTGATCGATCAGTTTAAAACTCTTGGCTGGGCGCCCCGGTCGCATGCAGTTGCGCTGCCTGTTTGCTTTTCGTTGATCAATTTTCAAGTTAAAAAGGAACACAAAGACACACCTCGTCAGGAACAGTCACTATTTTGGCCATGATTTACTCCCACATCATCATACTGAATGACAAAATTGAAACATTAAATCAAAATCTCTCCGTTTTTCTGGTTGCTCCGAGTCCAATTCCAAAGCTTTCTCAACACTGGTGACCGTACGGTTCACGCAACAATTACAATCCGTTTACACGGTACGAGTGTAAAGTACCAGTTAAATTGCTAGGAAACATAAGTTTTACAATTCAACAGGGGGCGCCCTACCATGTACCACTTTCGCTAGCGCTCAGACTGTGAATTCGTTTGATAGGCGGTCTCAGTTGAGTTGACCCGTATGCATGGCCAAGCCAAAACCACGTACTTTTTGTGACATTAGCCTCGTCTTCATTTGGCCCTGCCTGATTTTTTAACCCGGTCACTTTCTTAGTTGAGTGAGAAACGTTCTTGTTAAATGAGAACTGAACTTTATGCTATCGGCTTAGTGATATGGAAATGCCGTCGTAGAGCTATCGGACGATCCAGCGCGCGTTTTAAGCCTAAAGGTGTTTCAAAAAAAAGGTAATCCAACTTTAAGGGGTTTATATAGCTATGTGGTATCCCATATAGTATTTCGAGGGCCACAGCAATAAAACTGAAGATAAGAGCTTTCAAATGACACCTTTCTTGCCTAACCATGTCATTGCATAAGTACCATGGATTGAAATCATGGTATCAAAACTGCACTGGAACGGTTCACTTGTTGAGTCTCAGCACATTTCACTCGGCCAACTGCCACACCTTGATTGTGAATAATGTTTTGCCTGCTTATGAAATGGGGTTTATTCAAAAGGCCTGGCATGTCCATTCTGGCCATAGTGGTATCATGAAAGTGAACCAACCACATTTTTCCACCCTAAGTTCTGGTTGCTGGTGCTCAATCATTCATGGCCCTGGACACGAAACCTTTGTGTCATTGTAACGCTCATAATCTCTACTTTAGAGTGATACATATGTACCACGATCCTTGCTGAAAGGCAAATAGCACGGTCGTATTAACCCCTTAAAGTTAGATTAAGCCTACCTTTTTTTCCGAAACACCCTGTAGTTGGCCATTTAAGAAAATTGACATGAAACGAAGCTGCCCTCTGCGCGTCTGATAATAGCGTCAACTTTTCTAATACAAGTAGCGTAAACGCAATCATTCACAATTATTTTGCTATCAAAATGATTTTTCTTTGCTGTTGTGAAATTGGCTTAATTGTTTTATTCAAAGCTAATGTGCTGCAGTAAAGAATTTCCATATGTCACAAATTTCATCACTCGACATGATGACAACAGCTGAAAAAAAGGGAAATTAGATATCAAACTATCTTGTATCAAATGCTGAATGACAGAGTGATTTAAAGGTTGATGAAGTCAAGTTGAAATCCTTGAGGAATTCACAAGAAAAATAGGCCCTACAATTAAAGGAAAAGCGAAAAAGACAGACTAAAGGTCCGTTAAGGGCTGCCTTTTAATTGCTGATTCATTCTCCACACAAATGCAAGGTATGACATGAGAACATATTTTCAGTAGGTAAAAAAATCTAATGTATACACATTCATCACACGCAATGGTGACAAAAAGGCTGACTACGCTGGGTGTAGCCCTGAAGTTGTGAAGATCTCTCTCCTACTTTAACAGTCAAAGTCAACTCAACCTTGGCAGTGTCTACATCCCGAGTTTTGACGCACAGTGCCAACTGCTTATAAAAATGGCCAGGTTCCTATCCCAGTATAGTGTGTTTTGGTATTTCTCGCTCCCTGTCCAAATCTAAGGCATTTAATTTTAACAGCCTAATGAGAAGCTCTGCTGCTCGAACTGTCTGCGATATCTTGGCGAGCACCTCCTATATCAAGCAAGACTTGTTGACTTGGAGGCCACGGCCTGGGGCTCCGTCTTGTTTCCTGGCATAGTGTTCGACCATTATCCAGATGCTAAAAGGGCGATTCGTAGGGTCCTAATTACTGTGACCGTAAGGAACTAAATTTCGAATCCAGTTGACAGAAGACAGGCAAGGTTTCTTGTTTGATCGACTATTCGGCTGCCTTCGCCACAGTGATCAAATCATCCTCAGACAGCCTCTCACTGGTGAAATTTGGTCTAGGCGACGGGCGCTGTCCATCACTGGTTTCGTACCTGTGTGCGGTGTGTTTATGGTGAATAATCATCAGGGAACGGCAGTGCGCGCGTGCGAGTGCTAAAGCGCGCTAAATGGTGGCATTTACTAATCCGATTAGACACCATAACTGCGGTGGCACCGTACCACAGACATATAAATGCATAGACCGCCAGGTTCTACTCAAAAGTACAGGGGTTTTTCATGATCTGCGCTGCGCCCGACTAAAATCAAAACTATAAGGCGGACGCGTCACGATTTGCAGGCTCTCATTGGACAATCGCTCAAGTTGCGCGTTAACTTCCAGTTCCATGGTTTCATGTAAACGGCGATCAGTGCATGTAACCCTGTGTGCAGCGCACGTGTGTAGTGGGTGTGGNCCCGGGGCTCCGCCTTGTTTCCTGGCATAGTGTTCGACCATTATCCAGATGCTAAAAGGGCGATTCGTAGGGTCCTAATTACTGTGACCGTAAGGAACTTAATTTCGAATCCAGTTGACAGAAGACAGGCAAGGTTTCTTGTTTGATCGACTATTCGGCTGCCTTCGCCACAGTTGATCAAATCATCCTCAGACGGCCTCTCACTGGTGAAATTTGGTCTAGGCGACGGGTGCTGTCCATCACTGGTTTCGTACCTGTGTGCGGTGTGTTTATGGTGAATTTTTGTAGGGTATCAGGGCAAAATACGGACCCCACAACACTCGTTGTCCTTGTGGGGTACTTAAACGGTACCCCCAAATAGATTTTTTTGAATAATTTGTCACAAAGTAAAGTAATACTGGTGATGCACAATAGCGCGCCACCAAGAGTTTGCAACGCGTTGGCCAATCACAATGCGCGAAATCTGGCGACCCAATGCTCGCTTCGAAATTAATAAGGGTCCACAGATGCTTTGCGATTGACCAACGCGTTGCAAACCTTTGGAGGTGCGCTATTGTGAATCGCCCGTATTGACAAAAGAGGCATTTGGTCGAAATATGAACCCAGGGAAGATAGTCTGGTTCAAATTAGAGCGATGCATACGCGGTGTGTCGGCGTGCAGTTTAACAACCAGGCTCCCCAATTTGCGTGTCCGGTGGTGCCCAATTACTGACTTAAAGAATCTGCAAGCCCTTTTGTGCACAACATATGGGGCTTGCTACCAAAATTGGATGGAGCACTCTGTTTGGCCAAGAATCCTGATTATATGAATATTTATTTTAGGGGCAGTTTGATCGGTCAGTTGAACGTTTAATAGCAACAAACACAATCGCGTTTATTGAAGAGGGTATTTACATTCTTCTGAAAAGATGATTTACCATAAAACCTTCGGTTCTTTTACCAAAAAAAAGAAAAATAATAGATTTAGTTTTAAATATTTATGTAAAGTTTGTCAATAAGGGTCGCATTAAACGGGGAAATTAATGCAAGATATGAAAGAAACTGGCACTAATCCAATATATATATATATATATATATATATATAAAATAGATGACTCTGTTCTATAGCGTGAGCTGCTATTGGCGCTTTCTATGGAAATATATGAATAAGCAGTACAATTGTTGCATGCGTGAATATCCTTCCAGAACCAGGTTGATCAAGCCGTTAGGCAGGCACATAGGTTCGTGGGCAGTGACGTAGCCATGGGGAGGGGGGAGCTGGGGGAGGGCACGCCCCCCACAAATTCCCGGTGTCCCCCTCAGGTGTCTCCCTGCTGAAAAAAAAACAACAGATGGATGGATATTGAACAAGGCTAACAAAAACTTAACCCAAAAACCACACCACTGAAAGCTTGTGCCCCCATGAGATTATGGAATTCCATATCTGCCGTCGTGCGTCGCCCGTCGTGCGTCGCCCGTCGTGCGCCTTCGCCCATCAAATGGGTTGCATCGGACCTGCAAAAGCTGGGGTTTAACAAATGACAATGTGATGATTCCATTCACTTCTAAAGATCTTTTCGAATAAGGCAAGTACAAGTCCCACCTGCAGTACTAGTCCCATAATTAATGCCAATAATGCTAGACTACCCCTGCCCCTTGACAAGAAAATATCACCTCTCTGAGAAGTCGACCAAGTGTTTTTGGGGAAAAACATTTTCAGCAAAAATGTTCCGGCCAACTTATCAACAGTGTTATTCTAATTTGCATACTGTAAAAATGTGCCGACTTGTTTTCATCAAATTCCATGCAGAAATCTGCCAACCGATACAGATATTCC